GACCTGAGAGTGCTACTTCCCAGTCACTGACATTTATGGGAGGTAGCTTAGACTCTTCACACTAACTCACACAGGCATCTCTCCAATCTAAAGGCAAACAGTTGTTTGTGCGTTAGCAATAATATGACACATGCAAACTGAGCATACAAAATGTGGGTTGACATAATGTACAAAAATGTCAGGTTACCTCAGAGAAGTTTTAAAATTTCAAAAACGTTTCTCATAAAGTAAACAATCAAGTTCAAAAGACTACACATGCTTATATAGTTTCCCTCCTTTAAAAAGACTTTACTGAACAAGATGAGAGAGGAAGGGGAGCAGATAAGACTGAAAGACACTTTTAAGCAAAGTTACTAAGGATATCAACAGGTCAGAAGTCAGAATGTTTGCATCACATTTACAGTTTCATCCCTTCATACCAAAAAAGTGAAAAAGTTAGTATGTTAATGGTATTTTATTTTTCTTTTCTGTCTCAATTTCCTCCCTTCCCTTTCAAGACTCAAAAGACTAGTGAAACTAGCAAAAGGCCTGCAGAGGCTTCCATTGTCCGCAGACCTGGGCCCTGACACTTCGTGCCCATTGCTGAAGTCATGTTGCCTCCAATTCCTTTCCCAGCTTTTCTCACCAGAACTCCCTGTAATCACGTTTTTCTTCTTTGCATGCCAAAGAAACCAGTGACTTCTGCATTGCCAAGTCCAGTGCTTAATTCTCAGTCTACAGCTGCAGCAGACCCATGAGCAGCAATTCACACAATTCCCTTCCCTTTGAGGAACTTCCTCCATTTGAATTCCAGGGCCCAGCTCTCTCGCTGCTTCTGCCCTCTCACCATTTTCTCTCTCTCCTTTATTTTCTACCTGAGTCTCTAAATGATTTTCTCTTTTCTATCAGAATTTCCTTTCTAGGCGATCTCACTCAGACCCAGGCCTTTAAGAACTATTACACACTGATATATGCAAATTTGTATCTCCAGCCTGGATTTCTGCTCTAAAGGCCAGGCTCGTAGTATATCCATTTGGCTACTTGGCCTTTCTACACAGATATCTAGCCAGTTTTGTAAACTTAGGTTTCTAAAACTAACCTCCCCACCCCACCAATATGCTCTTCAGCAGAGAAAAGTCAACCTCTATTCTTCTGGTTGCTCAGGCCAAATATAGTGTCATCTCTTAATTTATACTTTGTCATCCAACCTCAAAAATAAATGTTTGAAGATGCTACCTTCAAAATCTGGCAAAAGTCCTCAATATCATTGATAGGTGCTCCCTGATCCAGACCATCTATCCTAACCTCACCTCCTACCACCCTTTCCTGCTCATTCCACTCAGTGACCCTGGAGGACAAAAAATGTTTTTAATTCTGCTGTAATAGTCAAACTCCGATTTCCCATGACTTGCCCCTTCTTGAATTCTTTGCTTAAATTTAGAAGTCACTTAATAAGAAAGGCCGCCTCCCTCTCCAACATTCTCTGCTTCCCTTTTCCTGCTTTATATTTCTTAGCACCTGTCACCACACAAAATGTTTATGTATCTCCTCTGACGAAAATGAGAGAAGGGGCTGTGCAGGTTCAATGCTGTATCCTCTGTGTTTAGACCCATGCCTGCACTTAGCAGGTGGGTGGGTGTGGGCCGTAAATATTTGTTAAAGGAATTATCAAATGACTTAGTGAGAGAGTGGAGTTCAGACCAATAATTACTTTCTTTTCTTACTTTGGTGCAGTGAATAATCTCCATGAAGGGATTACACTGTTGACAACACAGTGGCAATTTCAAAGCAGAAACAAAAAGCATGGAAGAGGAACAAATAATTCCAGACTATGGTTTCTTCTCAGGGATGGTATAAGAATTCTATATAATAAAACCCTAATATGCAAATCTAATGAACAGTGGAATGACCACTTGCTATGATGTGCACTGACCACCAAGGGGCAGACGCTCAACACAGGAGCTGCCCCTTGGTGGTCAATGCATTCTCACAGGGGTAAAACCACTCATCCAGAAGCTGGACTTACAGCTGGTGAGTGCAACAGCAGTGGCAGGAGCCTCTCCCACCTCTGCTGCAGGTGGGTGGTAAGAAGCAAAGGGTCCCGGACTGTGAGAGCTCCAGACTGTGAGAGGGATGTCTGACTGCTGGCTTAGGCCTGATCTCCAGCAGGTGGACATCCCCTGAGAAGTCTTAGACTACAAGAGGGCACAGTCTGGGCTATGGGACCCCCTATCCCGAGTGCACAAATTTTGTGCACCGAGCCTCTAGTCACCTATAAATTAAAAAAATATACAGGCCCAAGCCTAACCCTTGAAGAATCTGATTTAGGAGATGAAGCTGGGGCAGGCTAAGTTCCCCAGCTGATTCTGCTGTCCAATCCTTGTTAAAACCACTTATTCAAAAGAAGTATCTCAAAAGGCATGTGGTAACTATGCAGTAAGTAAAATAACACACATTTGTTGTTGTTTTTAACCCACATACCTGACTGGGGACTCAAAAATATAGTTTCTTTTTGTCTTCATGTAAAAGCACTGCCTAAAAAATGAAATACATTGGTTTATAAAATTGAAGGGAATAGCATCTGAAAGAGCTTTAAAAGTGCAACCATATCCAAGGAGAGTTGAAATTAGGCATGTGGGAGGCAGAACTTTGCAAGTTACTGAAAAGCAAGACACACATGCAGGGATCCTTAAAGCATGCCCTGCCATCCCTGGCACAGCAAGCCTCCGCACCACACTGTGCTGAGGGCAGGAGGAGGGAGCCGGCGGGTTAGCCAGAAGGAAGGAGTCAGGGCCCGGGCCTGCCCAGCACCTCGAGGACCCAGCACGGAGCTTCTAGCACCCAGTCAAGTTTGCTGGATAGACAGGTGCTGCCAGGCCTTCCTGCTCAGTTTTGAGCTAGGTTTACCTGAACAAATGTGTCAGTTGGTCTCAAAGTACTAGGCGAAGAAGGGGATCCACATACCCACTGTGATTTAAACATACCTAAGAGAGAAACCGGCACTTTCTGTTCCTCCTTTAAACTGAAAGCAGTAGCCCTGTTTCCAAACTTGCACAGAAAGACTATCTGTTGATATGACAGAAGCTCCTCTGAATATATTGTGTGGACAAAATAATAATGTATTTGCAGAAACGAGAGGGAGCAGCATAACTCTTAGCTTATTATTTTTCCTTCCTACAGGAGGAAATTCACACTCCAGCCCCACCCTTCCCTTCTTATTTTACTTTTATAATATGACTACTTGACTTAAACTGTACATACTGCATTCTGAAGTAAAGACTATAAAGATTTCCTTTGTTTGGATTATACCTACCTCCCCCCCAGGGTGTCCCTTCTCCCTCTGATTTGCTGCTGTCCCAGCTTGACAGAATCACTGCTCTAGCTGTTTGGAAAACTTCACTATTAGGTAACTTAAAACTTGCTACTAGCTAGAAGGAAGCAATCCATCCATGCTGGGGACCAGAGGGGCATTCCTTCACCACTGCATTGTACCAAAAAGGAACACAATGACAATATGCTTCGAGCTATTAGTAACACGGACCTTGAGTTCCTCTGAATGGTGGCCTACAAAAATAACATGGTTAAACTTTATTACATCTTATCTATATTGTTTACAGTTTCCTCATCCGTAAACTGGGGATATCAATAATACCACATTTGATGGGGCTGTGGTTAAACTTACATGCAATTACCCATGTAGTTAATATAGTGCCTAGTCTATACTAGGCACTCAATGAATGTTAGTTATTGCTATTATTTTAAATTCTTTTAATTACATTTACCTCATATAATCATAAGAGGAAATCATTTTATTCTGGCATTTGTCCCACATTAGGGCAAAAGAGCTTGAGTTTGAGTTCTTTAGAAGTAGGGCAAGATGTATCTTTCATAAATGTTTTAAACCTTGTTTTAAAATCAATAATTAATTTAAAAATACACTCCTCTGCTTATAAATCTTCTTTTTGGAAAAAGAAAGTACAAGTGATCTATAACTTTGTCTTAAAAAGAAAGAAACAAAAAAGAAAGAAAGAGACACCATGCTGCTGATTTAATGAAGTGGGGAAGAGGCTATTAGTGTTCCGGGAACAATGAACACTGGAATGAACACTAAGGAAACCATCAGCAGTGCTAACTTTGTATGCTGTTCACCAACATATACAATTGAGGACAGAAATAGGGCACTATTTTAATTAAAAAAATGGTCTCAGAGTTTCTTTTCTAAACTAACCACATTCACAGGTTTTTCTAAAAAAGTGAGTGTATAAACTGCTTATGCAGACACAAAGGCATCCTTACTCTTACCAGTATGTTAAAAAGGTACCTTCAATGGATATTTGAGCCATTTAAGATAATATGTTAATTCAGATCCAACAACTTGAAGAGGCAAGATAATGGATGGTTTTGAACTACTGACTTATGTTTTTCCTCATCTTAATAATCATCTAACTTATTGCAGAAAAATATTTAATGATAAAATCCAAAGAGAAACTCCTCCATAATTTTCCTCAGCAGTTAGAACCACTATTAACTATATAACTTATTTCCTTCTAGTCCCTTTCCCACGCATGTGCATGTCATGTATTTAGATAAAAATACATGTGGCTCAGTGAACACACAGTTTGGCATCCTGAGATAACCTGATGACTCCTCACGGCTGGACAGTGCTTCAACCACACTGAGTAGCGACGCTCAAGTTCGTTTGTTTTACGGTCACTTAGGCTACATTTTTTAGGTACTGGGGATGACCAGATTTTCATTTTATTGATAATCTTATTTAAAAAGTCAACCAAATTACTTTCATAAGCTGCTAAACAAAACCAGGAATTACGTATTTAAGACTTATAAAAGATCAGAATTAAAGGAGGGGATGGAATCTCACATTCTTAAAAAAAACCTTTGAGTCATTCGATTTGTTGAAGAAATAAATAAGTTATAGAACTTTGACAGAGTTACAGAACTCTAAAAAGGAGGTTTCCCTTGAGATGTGATTGGGACCATCAAAGTGTGACTGGTATGCATACCTGAAGAGCCTTTGAACTGCGGGCATTCCTTTTTAATGTGCCCCTCTCGTCCACAAATAAAACAACGTTTTTCTCTCAAGTCCTTGTCATCCTGTCTCTTCCACTTTTCCACTGGTGACCTGAGCATCCTCTCTCTCCCCAGATCGACAACTGCCTTCACCAGCTTGGCTTTCTGAGGCGTGTTCTGCACGGGCCTCTCCTCTTTTGATGAGACCTCCCTCTCTGCACACTTGTTTTGAACCTCTTTGTCATCTTTGCTTCTTTTGTCTTTGTTCTCAGGGTTTCTTTGGTTTAGGGTATCTTCCTGATCTCGCCGTCGCCTCGCTCTGTAGAAAATGATATAATACTGGTAGGAAAAAAATCCAAACAGAATTCTAACAAAATTAGACAACTCCAGGTTTAGGAAATCACGAGAAACGGAGGGCATTAGCGGGCACCCACAGAATTTAACAAACTTAAATCTATTTTTTTTTCTACTAAGAAGCAACCTCAAGGGCTTACAGGTGTTTTTCCTTTTCATTTTCACAATTACTCCAGTGCTCTAAAACCAGTTTTATAAATTAGTGGAACTTCTTGATATTGATGCAATGAAACTTATCCTTGGGGTGATTTTTTTTTTTAGAACCTTTCTGGCCTGCTTAGGATTCTTTTCTAGACACTGGAAATTTGAGATGTTAAAGTTTAAATACATTCATTCACATGCCCAAAAAGGGGACTAGAAGGAAATAGGTTCACAAGCAAGTGATGATTATATAAGGAGACTTAGGGTCTTAAAAAATATTAAAATAATTTCTTCCTTGCCCATGACCAGTGACTATTATTACTTGAGTAAAAAACAAGTATGTATTAAATAAGAGCCTTAAATTCCGCAAGATGACCTGTTTTATTTTTCGCTGTGTCCCATAGATTTTGGATTGTTGTGTTTTCATTGTCATGATGTTTTTTTTTTCTTCTTTGATCGCTCTGGTAACCCAGTCATTGTCTAATGGCATGCTGTTTAGTCTCCATGTGTTTAATTTCCTTGGATTGTTTCTATCATAGTTGATTTCCAGTTTTATGCCACTGTGGTCTGAGAAGATGCTTGATCTGATTTCTATTTTCTTGAATTTGTAGAGACTTTGCCTGTGACCCAATATATGGTCTATCTTTGAAAATGACCCATGTGCACTTGCAAAGAATGTATATTCTGTGGCTTTGGGATGAAATGTTCCGAAGATGTCAATTAATTCCATTTGGTCTAGTAAGTCATTTAGGATTGATATTTCTTTGCTGTTGTTTTGTTTAAAGGATCTGTCCAAAGGTGACAGTGGGGTATTAAAGTTTCCTACTATGATTGTATTGCTATCAATCTCTCCCTTGATATCCTCCAAGAGATTTTTCTTATGTATTTGGGTGCTCCTGTATTAGGTGCCCACATGTTTACCAGAGTTATTTCTTTTTGTTGGATTGCTTCCTTTAGTATTATGAAGTGGGCTTCCTTATCCCTTGTTACGTCCTTCACTTTGAGATATAATTTGTCAGATATAAGTATTCTACCACAACTTTTTTTTTCATTTCCATTTGCCTGGAAGACCTTTTTCCATCCCTTCACCTTCAGTTGTGTGCGTCTTTTTTTCTGAGGTGGGTTTCTTGTAGACAGCAGATATATGGGTCTTGTTTTCTTATCCAATCCATTACCCTATATCTTTTGATTGGGGCATTTAATCCATTTATATTTAAAGTTATTATTGATAGGTACTTATTTATCATCCTTTTTATTTTTTACCCCTGTGTACCTTCTTCACTTCCTATTTCTTTCTTTCTTTTCTTTTCTTTTTCTTTTTCTTTCTTTTTCTTTTCTTTTTTTTTTTTTTTACAATAGACCCTTTAGGATTTATTGCATTGCTGGTTTGGTGGTAATAAATTCCCTTAGTCCTTTTTTTGTCTGTGAAGCTCCTGATTTCACCTTCAATTTTGATTGATAGCCTTGCTGGGTACAGTATTCTTGGATTCAGACCTTTCCTTTGCATGACTTTGTATATTTCATTCCATTCCCTTCTGGCCTGATGAGTTTCTGTTGAGAAATCAGTTGCTAATCTGATGGGGGTTCCTTTTTTATGTAACTTTCGGTCTCTCTCTGGCCGCTTTTAAGATTATTACTTTGTTGGTGTTTGCCAATTTAATTATAACGTGTCTTGGGTTCGGTCTTTTGGGGTTCATTTTGCGGGACTCTGTGAGCTTCTTGGATTTGTGCAAGTTTTTTCTTCCCTGTATCAGGTAAGTTTTCTGTCATGATTTCTTCAAACAGGTTCTCTATTCCTTCCTCAATTTCTTCTCCTGGAATCCCTATTATGCAGATGTTATTTTGTTTCGTGTTGTCCCAAAGTTCCCTTAGGCTCTCTTCCTGCTTTTTAATTTTTTTTTTTTCCCCTAGAAGGTGCTCTAATTGGGTATTTTTTTCCCACCTTGTCTTCTATAATAGCTCACTGATGTGGTCCTCTGCTTCATCTAGTCTACTCTTGATGCTTTCTATTGAGTTCTTTACAGCAGCGATGTCATTTTTCATTTCTTCTTGGTTCTTCACCTTGGTTCTTTTTAAAAAAATATTTATTTTATTGATTTTTTACAGAGCGGAAGGGAAAGAGATAGAGAGCTAGAAACATCTACGAGAAATATTGATCAGCTGCCTCCTGCACACACCCCACTGGGGATGTGCCTGCAACCAAGGTACATGCCCTTGAGCAGAATCAAACCTGGGACCCTTGAGTCTGCAGGCCGACGCTCTATTCACTGAGCCAATCTTGTTTCAGCTCCTCTTGGTTCTTACTCATATTGTCAAATTTATCTTCCATTCTTTTCAGTCACCTTATGACCATTTCTCTGAATTCTTTCTCTGATAGGTTGCTTGCCTCTATTTCATTTACTTCCTTTTCTGATGATGCCTGCTTTTCTTTCATATGTGGGCTTTTTCTTTGTCTCCACATGGTCTCTCAGGATGTCTAGTTCTCTCTCTCTCTTGAGTTGATTTAAAGGCACAAAATACAACACAATCAGGTACAATACACAAAGCACTGAACAGAAATGTATTCACGATATTAATAACCTCCAATGAAGAGAAAGGCAAATTAGGGAATAGGAGAGAAAGAAGAAGAGGAAAAAGAAAGACAAAAAAAGGAGTACCAAAATGAAATTAGGAAAAGGAAAAAAAAAAAAAAAGTAAGAGACAAAGAAAGAAAATGGGAACAAACTATATATATGAAAACTCCAATAGAAAAACCACTAATCCCAGCAAATGCCAGCAACAAGTACCTGGAGATTAATACAAACTACAACACCAACTAATATCAAGCGAGGCAAGGGAAAACAGAGGCAAAAAACAAATAAAAAAACTAAGCAAAAAAAAAGAATTAAGTAAAACAATCTCACAAAAAAGCACAAAAATTCGATATAATCAACATTCAAGCAAATAACAACTAAAGGACTGAGAGAAAAACAATTTTTTGGGTAGTTAAGACAGCGAAGAGAGAAATGTGTATGGACTTGGAGCAGGGGATTGGAAATTAGATATATAAGTAGGGTGAAAATTTTAACAGGGGTAAACAGAAATAGGGAAAATCTAAAGTAGAAAAGGGGTAAGATAAACATGATACCAAAAGGGGAAAAGTTAGGAAGAGAGTGATGGCATAATGGTAGAGTTGATATAGAATAAAATGATGCTAAAGGAAAGATGAAAATAGAATGTAGAACACTAATCCCTAAGTAAAATAAAGAGAATATAAAATGTCACACACACACAAAAAAGTAAAACAGTAGTAGTAATAATACTGATTAAAAATAAAAATGTAATAATTAAAAGGTAAAATCAAGTGAGGAAAAAAGAAAAAATTTAAGTGAAAATGCAAAAAATGAAAAATAAAATAAAATATGCAGTAGTGAAGGTCATTTACTTCCTCTATTGCTTTGTTTGGCAAGCCTGTTTCTCAGCCCAGACAGTATTGCAGTTCCCTGCGTTCCACTGCTCCTCAGTGTTGTAGGTCAGCCCTGATTTTTAAGCAGGCCTTGCCTTATTTTCTTATATTCCTTTATTTTTGTATACATAAGAATCAGTTTGTTACTCAGCCCCTGGATGGCAATGTTTCTGGATTGACTTTGAATCTATGATATTTGGCCTCTCTAGCCTGTATTGTGATCCTGCTTTCCCTGTGGCACTCAATACCGGTTTGTCAGAGTGGGCTGCCTCAGAGCTGGCTCTCCGATGGTCACTCCCCGCTCCAATCACCAGGTTCCAGAAAAACAACTTTCCCCTGTAGTCTCCCAGGGTGTCCCCAACTGGGTGATACTATGTATTGGGCTTAGTAATCAGAAGCAAGGGTTTAAAGAGGAAAAAGCCCAAGTGTGCGAACAATGGGTATGCAAGTAAGTCAAAGCAGCTGGCACAACCTTTGGAATTTTTAGGCTGTCCCTCCGTGTCAGATCAAAATGGGTTGCTTTTAGAGATCCCTTCTGTTTGCAGCTCTGAGACCCCCTTCCACATTCATGGATCATGCCAGCCCCAACAGCCACAGATTTTTCTAGGCAAAGACTTCCCTTGTCCTCCAGCTCCCACAAAGCACTCGTTTCTCTCCCGCCGAGACCACCAGAGACCTCACCTTATCCCAGGTGAAATCTGACCTTCCTGTGGTGGAATGAAGAACTCCTTTGAACCCGCATGTTTGCGCCAACTGGGAACTGGTGTTCTGAGGTTCACAGCTGTTCAGTGATCACTGCAGTTGTGGATTTTCAGGCTTCAGATGAGATCCACTTTTCCCTTCAAAATGGCTCGGTCTCCGCGTCTGAGCCCATAGCTCTGGGAGGGGACCCAGCAGCTGCCAGGTCAGGGGAACCCTGTCTAGCGGTCCCCCACCTTCTCCTGGAGTTTAGCTGTCCCTTAACTTTTTTTTTTTTTTTTAAATATCTTTTATTGATTTTTTACAGAGAGGATGGGAGAGGGATAGTTAGAAACATCGATGAGAGAGAAACATTGATCTGCTCCCTCCTGCACGCCTCCCACTGGGGATGTGCCCACAACAAGGTACATGCCCTTGGCCAGAACCAAACCCAGGACCCTTCAGTCCGCAGACCGACGCTCTATCCACTGAGTCAAACCGGTTAGGGCCTGAGTCTTCTTAACTTGCCAACAAACACTACCTGTGTGACCCTTGGCTGTTCTTTCTTTCTGCTCTGGGACAAGACTCGGAACACGCCTATCTATTTTCCGCCACCATTTCCTACCCCTTGACCTGTTTTATTATTATTTTATTTATTTCTTTTTAAAGTATATTTTATTGATTTTTTACAGAGAGGAAGGGAGAGAGCGAGCCAGAAACATCGATGAGAGAGAAACATCGACCAGCCGCCTCCTGCACACCCCGCACCGGGGATGTGCCCGCAACCAACATACATGCCCCTGACCGGAATCGAACCCGGGACCTTTCAGTCCGCAGGCCAATGCTCTACCACTGAGCCAAACCGGTTTCGGCCTGTTTTATTTTTGTTGTTGTTTTTGGTTAATCCTTACCAGAATATATTTTTCCCATTGATTTTGAGAGAGAGAAGAAAGAGGGGGGAGAGAGAAACATCGATGTGAGAGAGACACATTATTGGTTGCCTCCCCTACCCATCCTGACAAGGGGCAAGGATCCAACCTGCTACCCAGGTACGTAAACTGGACTGGGCATCAAACCACGACCCTTTGGTGCCAGGGCTAATGCTCTAACTACTGATTAACACCAGCCAGGGAGATGATAACCTGTTTTTAAATGAGCATATTATCATTCAAGTAAAAGCATCACAAACAGTATGTTCAAAGTGAACATACACTTTGTCCCTCAGTCCTCCTGCAAACAGAAGCAAGCATGGTCACCAAGCTGAGTAAGTCACCATAGCAATATTAAGGTGTACAAGTGAAACTGTGTACAAGTGAAAGGGTCTTGGAGTCTGAAACACTGTCAGTGAGTCCCAATCTCAACATAGCACACCTCAGTTATTGTACATTAGAAGTGTAATTGGCATCCTGAAGGAACCAATTGTACTTTTCGTTGACTCAAATCATTCTGAACTTCTCACCGCTGTAAAAAGGGAAGCATTTTGTTCTCTTTTTTCTTCCATCCCAGCTGGAGAGGCCGATAACCAAATGATTAGTGCCATGACCAGAATTAGGAAAAGGGACCAAGCCTGAGGTACTGTCTCTGTTACAATGGAGTCAATTCTCATTATCTGTATGTAAAGCCATATATATATATATATATATATATATATTAAAAACATTTTATTGATTTTTCACAGAGAGGAAGGGAGAGGGATAGAAAGTTAGAAACATCGATGAGAGAGAAACATTGATCAGCTACCTCCTGCACACCCCTCACTGGGGATTTGCCAGCAACCAAGGTACATGCCTTTAACTGGAATCGAACCTGGGACCCTTCAGTCCGCAGGCCAACACTCTATCCACTGAGCCAAACCAGTTTTGGCTGTAAGGCCATATTTTAAATCACCTCATTTTCATTATAAAAAACCTAAAATTTACATGAGAACTGCTGAATTTCCTATGACTTTATTTTCTGTTTCAATAGAACTTCATTTAAAAAGTGGTACCTTAAGAGCATATAATCAAAACCACCTCTTTTGAACATTTACTTACCTTCTCCTCAAAGGACAGTCTTTCATGAAGTGTCCAATTTTCCCACAAATTCGGCAACATCTGTCATTTGGGGCCAGCTCTCCTTCAGTTAGCACATCTGGATCGAAAAAGTATTCCTAGAAAAACATAAATATATACAAACGTGAACTATTACTATGAGATCAAAACACAAAAACTAGCCTGACAGCAATCAGGTAGCTTATACTTCAACATCAACATTATCGTAAACTTAATATTATTTATACTGAGTAATTTCAAATCTAAAACCATTATGAGGTCAAATCAGAATAATTTTACCTAAATTCCAATTTTATGTAGTCCTTTCCATCCTGCAACTGTTTATCCTTAACCACAAAGGTAGCTTTCCCCCAGCACTTCTAAATAAGAGCACCATATTCCCCAGAAGTCAGCTGCCCCAGGACTTGGGGGGAGCTGAGTCCAGGTACAAAGGCTTCTGTGCTCTGAAAAAAAGAAAAGCTAACACCTTATGAATTGAGGAACATGATTTGCATATAAGATTACAGAGAAAAAGGAAAAGGCTATGTGCTATTGCTTTATTTCATAGTGGCTTCTGAAGGGAAACATCAGAAGAAAGGAAAGACAATGGTCTGGGCTTGAGCTTCTTTACCAGTGAAATTAAGGTGGGGGACCAGCAGCACCAGCATCACCTGGGAGCTTGTAAGAAATGCAAAGTCCTCCTGAATCAGAATCTGCACTTAACAAAATCCCTAAGTGATATGTTTGGACAAGTTTCAGAAGCACTGACCGATTACCACAGCAATATCTATAACGAGATGCACACATGTAATCAAATGCTGAATATAGCTGCACACCTAACAGTTAAGGTTCATTAAAAGTGTATTCAGAAGATTAATGCATGAAAATAATAACTTTATTTTAAACATAAAACCCTCTAGTTCTTCTCTAGCCGGTGTGGCTCAGTTGGTTGGAGCATCATCCCATGAGCTGATGGGTTGACAGTTCGATTCCTGATCAGGTCACATACCTGGGTTTCAGGTTTGATACTCAGACAGGAGGCAACTGATTGATGCTTTTCTCATATATAAATGTTTCTCTCCCCCCCCTTGTCCTCCTCTTTTAAATCAGTAAAATATATCCTTGGGTGAGAATAATATTAATTAAAAAACCATGTAGTTTCTAACTCTCTTTTTTCTCACTGATATACGTTATCTTTATAATGCAATTTTGTTTTGTTTTTAATGAATGCAGCTCAATAGAAATCTGAGCATTATATGAGAACAGACAGTTCTACCGTGTTTCCCCGAAAATAAGACATCATCTGAAAATAACACCTAGTGCAACTTTGGGAGAAAGAATTAATATAAGACACTGTCTTATTTTTGGGGAAACAGGATAGTACAGGCAGCACCATCCCATTAAGGAATGTATTACTTTTTGCAAGTACAGTAATAAACAAACAAAGGAAGTCTAGACTTCATATGGATGCCCTTAGGTATGTGCAAATGGTTTGGAGCTCAATTTTGGTGGCACAGCAATGCCACTTATATGTGTAACCAAGGAAAAGCAGCACCAAAATTATAAATCTTCTCAACCAACCTCCAGCTCTGGCTATTTCTCCCGTACTTCTGATGAACTGTCTCAGAGCTGGGATGTTTTTTAGAAAGGGTTTTTAGGGATTTGTGTTGTAATTGTTCATCTTGGTGGCTAGACTCACCAGATATTCCAAGTATTTAAGTTATCACTGAAGTAATGTGTACTAATTAAATATTTAATATGGGCTTTCAGAATTGTTTTTATTTTTTTATGTCCAACAGATGCTTACCATTTTTGAGGCGTAGTCCTTTGGTAATCCTTTGACTGGAATACCAAATACTCTTCTACCATTAATAAATGCTTTCATTATAAAATTGGTCACTAAAAAGCAAAGAATAAGAGCTCAAGTAGGTGAATTAAAAAGAGATCACATGAATATTTATAAACAAAGTTAACTTACTTTTCCTTGATAATCCAGCTCCAAGATTATGATTCAAATCAAAGGGATCTAAGTAAAAAGAAAATGAGAATAAGATAATCAAAAAGAAAATGCCAATATTCATACAATAAATGGTTTATATAACAAGAAAGTGTTACATAATTTATCATTAAAAGTGTTACATAATTTATATTATTAAATAACTACCTTTTTAATGATCTTCAAATTTGTTTTATAGTTAGGTGATATATATTCCTAACTGTAAGGCAAGTTTTTTCTCAAAAGTGTCCATCAGAAAAGAGGATGTTGCTTTATATTTGAATTCTTATAAAATCTTTCACATTATGAGGAGTTGCTTTATTTTGAACAAGAAAATACTATATGGAGAAGACTAACATTAGTCTGACATTATTTAATACTAGTTTTTGAAGGCATATAGAGGTCACAAATATATTTAAAACATTTTAGAATTAAATGTTTCTGCCAATTAACAAGCTTTTTAAATATCACTTTAGAAAATAATTCTTCATGGATATCACAGAATGAATTCACGTGATAAATTAAAACACACACAGGCAACAGCTACTTGGATCTCAATTTCTAGTAAAGGCTTCAGATAAGCATTCCCATACAATCTTAAATATTTCCACTCAAACATCCTAGATGAGTGGATATCTGTTGGGTCCTGGAACACTATTTGTTAGATGATCCAGAAAGTGGTAGGAAGGATAGGAAGCTGCTGATGTCAAAGATATATGTGGGATGTGAATAAACTGGTTCATAAAATAAATGGGGATAAATCATGCTTTCTAAATCAAAATACTTTATAAATGATTTACAATAAATTTACACACATAATTCATAAGTGAAACCTAATGTGTAGATATTTAATTATTTCCTGAAAATGCTTAAAAACATATTCAAGAAAGCAAAAAACACAACAAAACAAAAACCACCCCAAAATCTTTTTTTTTTCCCTGGGGGGGCAGGAATCAACCCATTGTGATTTGATTTTCATTTTACATATTTTTACATTATAAGAGTATCAATAGGTAGATGAAAGTTTAATATAGAGCAGCGAGTTTCAACCCCTGAGTTGCCATGTGAACTTTAAAACATGCAATACCTGTCTTAGTCAGGGTGACTGATCTCTTTTCCCTGAGACTGTCAAATAAAAATATGACAACAGCCTACACAACAATAGTCATTCAATGTGAATGAGTCAAAATTATACCAATTTATTTTTTGCCAAATTGACAACAAAAATATATTTTTTGGAGTGCTGCAGAATTTTAGTAATTAGCTTATGTGTGCCATGAGATGAAAAAAGTTGAAAATCGCTGACCTAGAGTAACATATTATTTAGGTGTTATGACTCCTGATAGGTAAAAACTCTCCGTTAATAGCAAATAAAGATGTTGAAAATGCACTATTAGGAAGGTTCTAAAAGTCCCACTTATTTAGAAGCTGAAATAAATAACAGCTTATTTATTTATCATCTTCTCCACTAAGTGTTCAATGATAGTAAAAGATCTGTCTTGGTGACCAAAGATGTAATGTGGGAGGCTCCATATAAAGGCACTAATCATTTAAAAATAAGTGTTTAGGTGGGAAGCAGATGCCTCCACTGGATGCAGACAGTAACGGGTGTGCACTGTGCACTGGGCACCCCAATCAGTGGCTCCGGGCTGCCCTCCTGGAGAGATGAAGAACGACCCTCCTAATTCAAACTCAATATTCTATGTAACTTTAAGTTTTAATTTTATTTGTACCTTCAATGACAATGTATTTTGAGGTCCACTGTTTCTTAAAAGTTGTAACCAGACTTTTTCTTCTGATGCTAATAACATGTTCTTTAAAATCAAAGTCCTCTGTGTAGAAACGAAGAAGTCCCAACCAGAGCTGCCCAACACTTTCTTTATTTTTTCCATATTCGGGCCAATAGGTGGGCTAGAAACAGAAGAAAACAAGGGATATCATGCCCTAGAGTAAAGTGTTAATGCCAATATTCACGTGTATCTTGTTAAGTAAATATGGACTTATTTCTAATTAACTAGAGTTTAAATACATTTTAAAATACCATCTACATGAGTTTTTTAATCTTCAGCCTATGACTTGGAGATAGGGAGAGCTCAGGGTTTTAATATCAAACCTCAGAATGCATGTTAGTGGAAGAATCTTGAAATAAACTTTAAGAACCTTGGTGATAATTAAAAATCTTTCCAAGTTGTGTACAAAAATCACAGAACAAATATTCGTTTATTTGGAAAAAAATACCAAGTTATTTGAAATTATTAGGCATTAAAAAACCTGGATATAGTCCCTAAAAGCTCACCTGGCTTAAAAATGTTTTCAATTTCAAAGGAAGCATCTGTATATGCTAGTTTTTTGTTGTGTGTGTGTGTGTGTGTGTGTGTGTGTGTGTGTGTGTTAAAACTATCATAATATAAATAAAGCAAATGACAATTCAGTTTTTGACTTTCTTTCTATACTACAGCATAGTATAGCTAACTTTTAGTCAAGGATGTAAGAAAAAAAAAATCTTTACTATTAAAATACGTACCAGTTCATCTATTTGATCAAAAAAATAAATATTCCAGCCATCAACAAATATTTCAGGTTTCTTTTCACCTTTGTATATCTGCAATTAATTTTTAAATTATTAGTATGGATTACAAACTTAATGCACTGATACAAAAATTTTAGAAAAATTGTTAAAATTTTAACTACAAAACTAGAGAACTTAAAAAAAAATATTTTAATTGATTTCAGAGAGAAATAAAGAGGGGTAGATAGATAGAAACATTAATGATGACAGAGAATCATTGATTGGTTGCCTTCTGCACACCCCCTCACTGGGAATTGAGCCCATACCCTGGGCATGTGTCCTGACTGGGAATAAAACCATGACCTGATTCTGATTCATAGGTCGATGCTCAAGCACTGAACCATGCTGGATGGGCTACAACCAAAGAATTTTTGAGAAGAAGGCTCAAAATATCACCCAGCTTTACAGGAAGAAATAGAATTACTTTATTTTTTAAAATATATTTTACTGATTTTTTACAAAGAGGAAGAGAGAGAGAAAGAGTTAGAAACATTGATGAGAGAGAAACACTGATCAGCTGCCTGCTGCACACCGTCCACTGGGGATGTGCCCGCAACCAAGGTACATGCCCTTGACTGGAATCGAATCTGGGACCTTTCAGTTCACAGTCCGACGCTCTATCTACTGAGCCAAACCGGGTAGGGCTAGAATTTACTTTATTAATACCTCTTGAAGGACAGGAATAACTGGTGGATTCCTCTGCTGGAGAAAATATAGCACCATAAGTGTGTATGCATATGATGATAAGCTGCCTCTGGATGCATCACCAATATCACACATCTGGAGGGAAGGAAAACAAGGAACACAAAGGAAAGATTACCAATGTTTTCTGCTTGTAGCTATTCTATTATCACTAAAAATAAGTGCTTCTACAGGGTATTAATAGAATAATCACATTTTCAAATGCTAAAATATTCCAAAAAAAACAAATAAGAAAAAAAAAAAAAAAAAAAAAACCACCAAAAAACAACCCCAAATAAAACAAAGGATCCAACAAAGCATTGGAAAAATCAGTCATAGCAAGATCAGATAATTATGTAAAATTTAAGACAAAATTTTAACTTGCTGAGTATGGCTTCCCAAATAGTTAAAAGAAGCGTTTGACATGGCTAGTCTTTAAAAAAAAAAAAAGAGACATGTTTTCAACAAGGTCTGAAGATGCAATAATATTTCCTGATAAGGTAAAACTGAAAGCACGCTCACCTTTGTAAAAACTTTCATGGTATAGCATAAATATTTCACTCTTTGATCAATGGCTGAATAAGCAGATAAGAGCCTTGTGTTATGAAGGGCCTGTTAAAAAGAAAATTATACTATAAGGCTATTTTAGAAGAAAAATTTAAAGCTAGAATATTCTGAAAAGGCTTATACTGTAATTCACTTTAGAATAAATATACTTAGACTAAAACTATTATTTCTTTCCCCCAAATAAGCTTCAATAATTTAAGAGGTAATAATGAAGAATTGTAAATGACATTTGATTTCATGATTTCCATTACGTTAATATTAGAGGACCCAGTGTGCATCAGTGGGGTCCCTTAGCCTGGCATGTGCCCTCTTGCAATCTGGGAACCTCGGGGGATGTTGGAGTGCCGGTTGCGGGGATCGGGCCAAAACCAGCAGTCCGATATCCCCTGAGGGATACAGTAGTGCCAGAAGCGGCAGGGGACCGAGGAGGACCCTGAGTCCAAGCCCAGGCAGCGGGCTGCACTGCTCCCGCTCATCCTGGCCCCACTGTACCTGCTGCCGCCGCAGGAGAGGCTTGCACTGCCGAAGCTGTGCTCGCCAGCCATAAGCCCAGCATCTGGCACCCGTTGGTCAGCTGAGTGGCACTCCTGCTGTGGGTGCGCACTGACTACCAGGGGACAGCTCCCGCATTGAGCATTTGCTCCCTGGTGGTCAGTGCGCATCATAGCGACTGGTCAAACAGTCACTTAGAGTTTTATATATATAGACTAGTTGTCCTGCACATGAATTCATGCACCAGTACCTCTTTGTGGGGCCTGGCCACTCTGCACCTGCTACCCAGAGGCTCTCAAGGGCTCACAGGCCTATCCACGGAATGCTTGCCTCGTTGCTGTGTTGATGAAGCAAGCATTCTGCCAGGCCGCTCACACTGCCTGCTCTCAGTGGCTGCCCCCCTCCCCAGACTTGGGAACTCTGACAGTGCTGAGAGGACTGGGCGCCGCCATATTTGTGATGAGTGACAGTTAATTTGCATATTACCCTTTTATTAGATAGGATGTCCTTAGTGTGAACATTCCTAAAAAATAAGGGCTTTAAAATAATCAGTTTCCTGAATATAATGAACAACTTAAACTGATGAACAAAAATAAATCCAGATACAGAAATATTGAACAGAGCAGTGAAACCTCAGAGGGAAGGTGTGTGTGTGTGTGTGTGTGTGTGTGTGTGTGTGTGTGTGTGTGTGTTTTTAAGAGATCAACCAAAGAACTTATTTATATGTATGCATAGAAGCTTAACCAATGGACACAGATAGTAGGGGAGAGTCAATGGGGGGGAAAAGGAGACATTTGTAATATTGCAACAATAAAAATTTAAATAAAATAAAAAAAATCAGTTTCCTGTAAATAGATGGATGATTCCCCCAACCTGTCTTGGCACTGCCCTTACGGGCCAGAGAGGTACCATAAAGCCCTGAAACAAACCAAGTGTGAAACACACACATACACACACTCCAAAAAAGTTCAAGCCAAACAAAAGTACCTGTCACTCTGACCTAATTTTAAATGAATATTAATATTAACTAAATTCTCTGTTATACCCCCAGCCTCAGATCACTGCCAGGCACAGAGCAAGCACTAATAACTACTGAAAGAATAAATGCAATGGAATGAATGGCTTAAGAGACATCTGTTTCCATTAATTTCTCTAGAGAAACCATTTAGAAAGTATATCTTACCAATGTGTTATACAAACTGATGTCCACTTCCAAACCACTTCTCAAATGGTAGAACTTTACAATTGGCACTTTTGCTGTTGTAATAGGCAAGATGTTTCTCAGACCTAGGTTGAAACAAGAGAATATCATTAAATACAGCTGGGCATGGAAGCTTTTATGTGAACACTAGAGGCTCGGTGCATGGATTTGTGTACTTGTGGGGTCCCTCAGCCTGACCTGCTCCCTCTTGCGACCCAGGAATCCTTGGGGGATGTCAGATCTATGGGGCCAGAGGGGATTGGGCCGAAATAGCAATCTGACGTCTATATCCATGCTTACCAGCCATGAGCCCAGCTTCTGGCAGAGTGACACTCCCACTGTGGAAGGACACTGACCATGAGGGGGCAGATCCTGTGTTGAATGTCTGTCCCCTGGTAGTCAGTGCAAATCATAGCAACCATAGGCTTTTATATATAGACTAGAGGCCTGATGCATGAAATTTGTGCATGGAGGAGGGGTGTCCCTCAGTGCAGCCTGTACCACCTCCAATCTGGGACCCCTCGAGAGATGCCCGACTACCCACTGGGATTGGGCCTAAACAGGCAGTCAGATATCCCTCTCACAATCCAGGACTGCTGGCTCCAAACCACTCACTTGCCTGCCTGCCTGCCAGATTGCTACTAACTGCTTCTGCCTGCCAGCCTGATCACTCTCTAACCACTCCCCTGACAGCCTGGTTGCCCCCAACTGCCTTCCTCTGCAGGCCTGATTGCCCCCAAATGCCCTTCCCTGCTGGTCATCTCTTGGCGGCTATTTTGTGTCCACATGGGGGCAGCCATCTTGTATGTTGGAGAGATGGTTAATTTGCATAGTACCCTTTTATTAGATAGGATATCGATATAATATGGATGTAAACTTAACTATTGTTATTCCATTTTACAGATGAGTAACTGAGTGCTAATAATAAGGTTGAGTGACTTTCTGAGATCACACAGCCAGCAAGTGGGGAAGCCAAGATTTAAAACCAGAAAGTTGATTCTAGACCCCCCAACTACTTTGCTATATTGCCTCCAAAGTAGACAGCCTTTTCTCCATCTATTTTCCATTTTAGAACTTGACACTGTAAATGCCCATCCTCTAGAACTTATTCACAGCACATCATCCTGGTTTATTTTATACCAATGGCTCCTTTTTCAGTGTCCTTCCTTAATTTCTACACACAGAAATTAAAGTGCAGTTCTCACTAAACAACAATTCCCTTGGCCTCTCCACTTTTCTCGTTCTTGGCTTCTCTACTTCTCTCTCATTAAGGCTTTCAATGCAAAACTTCTATTTTGTTCTACAATCCTGATTTGACAACTCCGTATTTTTAGTTTCTTACTAGAGTGCTACCTCTTGAAGAGTATACGTTCATGGCAAACTAAACGCCTTCACGCTGGTGTTTTCTGCAAATATTCCCATTTCCCAAATACCCAGACATCAGCCTAAGCCCTTACTTCCTAGTTATAGGTACCAAATCTAAGACATTTTCCTTTGGAATCTCTGATCTTTTTTTCCTTTCTTACCACTTGGACCTGGATAAGGTCTTTCTGCTCTGTCACTTAGGTTATACCCTCCAAAAGAGACAATGCTAGTTGCCTAAAAAGCTTAAGTTATGCTTTTCCTGGTTCTTCCTCTCCTGCAGAAACTTCAGTGGCTTCTTAATATCTACAGACTTTACCTTACCTCCTCATAGTTTCCACTTGAAACTCCTCTCTATATGTATCAATCTTCTCATTGTTCTCCAAAATATACTATATTCCATTTTAAGGAAAGACTTCTCTTCCTACTCTTTTCAAATCATATTGGTCATCATTTGAGATCAGAACAAGCCCATCTTTTCCACAAACCTCTTCTAAGCAACAATTTCCCACTTTCTCCTTAGAAGTTATTTAATATTTACTAATATTAATGAGACACCAATTCTGCAAATATATAAATAAGCCACGATTCTGTTTTATTGGCATTAGTATATTCTAACTATGCAAAATACTGATTTGGCTCAGTGGATAGAGCATAGATAGGTCTGCAGATAAAGGAGCCCTGCAGATAAAGGGGCCCAGGTTCGATTCCAGTCAAGGGCACATGCCCAGGTTGCAGGCTCCATCCCCAGTAGGGGGCGTGCAGGAGGCAACCAATCAGTGATTCTCTCTCATCATTGATGTTTCTCCCTTCTTCTCTGAATAAAAAAAAAAAAAAAAAAAAAAAAAAAAAAGGTGGGGGGGGGTGGTTCTTTAAAACAGATACCTCTGTGATTTTCTAAATAAACTTTTGCTTATAAACAATCAATCTATTTCTAGATCTATATTTATAATTAGAAAAAATTTATAGAGATACCTGAATGTTTTTTGAGGACTCTGGCCAATTCTTCAATAGTTCTTACACAGTCCAATCCCTGTAACAAAAATGGCATAAAGTACTGAAACAAAAATGGAACACAGGTTTCTAATCCGGTTATATATTGTTTCTATTACCTTCAGAAATAATTAAATTAATTCCAACTCTCTCCCCCGCCCCCTTTAGGTGAGCATTAATTAGTATACATAGCAAATATCCTAAAGAAACCACCCCTCCCCCAAAATAGCCTACTTACTAATTGCTTTTGGAGACTCAATAGAGTCTGAAATTGGAGCCTCGAGAAAAGTCTCTGAACCAGTGAGGACCTCCATTTTCCCCTCTAGGTAATTATGTCAACAAGAAGTACCCTATGTGCATAAATAAGAGGAAGTTTCTATGCCCTAATTCATTCTGGGTAGCTCTTCATTATAGTTTCATTAAGAGCTGATGAACTGCTGTGGAGAGTGATCAAACTCAGATTATTTTTCCATAGGACTAGACAAAAATGAAAGTCATACAGCAAATATGTACAAAATGAAAGTCATACAGCAAGTATGAATATTTCTAACAAATCATACTTAAAATATTTCGGCTGACCCTTTCCAATATAGGTGTTTCTTTTTTGAAAGTTATATATGTCCCACAATACACTGAAATTTTATTTTAGAAATGCCTTCAAAACTAGTTTATAAATCATTTAAAAATTCTATATTGATGACATACATTAAAGTCATTCTATGTATTGATCCCAGTATTACTTATCTACCTTATTCACTAAAGTTGGGTTAGATAACTTGGCTATTTCCCCAAATCAGATACATCCTCAAAGACAGACTTGAAACTAAGAAAAGGCATAAAAAGATCTTGGGCACCAGCAGCATCACTCATGTGGATACACAATATTTGGACTGTTAGTAAATATCTTTTTAAGAGTAGGGATTTGGGCCGAAACCGGTTTGGCTCAGTGGATAGAGCGTCAGCCTGCTGACTGAAAGGTCCTGGGTTCGGTTCCAGTCAAGGGCATGTACCTTGGTTGTGGGCACATCCCCAGTAGGGGGTGTGCAAGAGGCAGCTGATCGATGATTCTCTCTCATCGATGTTTCTAACTCTCTATCCCTCTCTCTTCCTCTCTATAAAAAAAATCAATAAAATATATTAAACAAAAAAAAAAGAGTAGGGATTTGGTACTTCTCAAATTATATACCTTTTCATAGTATTTTTATTTCATCTTCACCAGAGCTGGCAAATCTTTTATTTTATGGATTATAGTCTGTTGCATCTAGTCAGTTCTGCAGTTAGAGTGAAAGTGGCAGTAGAGTATACATAACTGAAGGGGTGTGGCTATGTTCTAATGAAACTGTATTTACAAAACAGGCATTGGGCAGAATTTAGCCCGTGGACTACAGTGTTTGCTGACTCCTGACATACATGATCTAAGCTGATGTGCATAACAATCTTCTGAAGCAAAAGAACCAGAATTACCATTTCCATTTTGTAGATTATCAACCAAAGATCACATGGATAGGGGCTGGTAAAACCAAATTTGTTTTGAATCCAGGTCACTGGATTACAAATTCAGTACTCTTATCATTATACCACATTACTGCTTCCTAATCTAAGCCTAGCTGCTATGCCAATGGAAGCCTGGAGAGGTTGGGCTGGCTTTCTAGAATTTCCAAAAGTTGCTTTCAAATTCACTTTGTACTCTAGTTTGAAAGTATAAGACTTTCTAGCCCTTACATCCACTCTATACTTCTTACTATATTTGGTCAGACAGACTGTGTCCTGAAAATTTGGAGAACACTGAACTTACTGTCAAAATTATCAAATCACACTGCCACAGCAAATGGAAATTTATGTGGTCACTGTACCTCAGCAGTTTCAAGTCCATTAATTGTCATACAGACGTCAAGATCACTCTGTTTGAACCCAAATCCATTTTTGGAGGAGCCAAACAAGCTCAATTTAGTTCCTGTTAGGGATATAATGAAAAGTAATAACTAATTACCTGATTACATTTAATTTTTGGATCAAAAGGTCCCTCTCATAAATCAAAATACCCAATTAATTATCCTGTATTAATCACTTAGTTATGTCCTTACTAATCAGTCATTTATTATATTTTTCTCTCAAAAAATAAAATTTACCTTTAAATAAATACAAGTTCTACATGGCATGAAAGATTACCAAGTACCACTTTATTCTTAAATGTAAGGATATTGCCTGGTCAGCATGGCTATCACTGAATGTTGATCTATAACCATGGTCCAATTCCCGGTCAGGGCACATGCCCATGTTGCAGGCTCGATCCCCAATATGGGGTCTGCAGGAGGAAGCAATCAAGAATTCTCTCTCATCACTGACGTTTCTATCTCTCTCTCCCTTCCTCTTTGAAATCAATAAAATAAAAAATAAATAAAAAATGTAAGAACATTTTGAGGGAAATGTGGATCTCCTAATCATATTTAATACTGTAAGCTTACTACTTTCTAAATAGACTTTTTAGAGGTGTGAACTTTGACTCTAAACATAGTCCTCAATGAAATTCACTTCGAGGAATCTGCTAAGAGAAATCCTACAGGCAGCTATCTTCTCTGTTGGGAAGCTAGGACTGAGCTGACCAATGGCCATCCTAGGCATGCCACACACTGAAGCCCTGTCCCCATCACTGAGAGATTACGTTCTCTTTCTCAAAATTAACGTGATTGTAACACATGGACACTTTATGAAGGAAGGTCACGCTACCCTTCTTTTCTTAAAGGTAAAAAGTCAGTTACCTGGAAACTCCTGTCTTATGAAACTTTCTAGGTTTTGCCGAATATGTTCACGAGCTTGATCTTCTAAAATAGTCGGAGAAAAATCCTCTGTTTAAAATAAAGAGAAACATTCAGAAAAAATGATGTTCACATTCTCTGAAAACTATATGAAACCTAACAGGTTTACAGGAAAAAACACCCTGAATTTTGTGTCTTTTCAATAGAAAGCATGTAAAATAACGAGGATGCCTTTAAAAAAAGATTCTAACACCAAGAACTGCTTCTGAAATAGAAAGTAATCTGAGAAGTACTGCATTTCAGAGTCCCAGCATTCTCTAAAGGGCAGCCTTCAGGGAACTCTTCCAGAGGGCGCACACAAAAGTTTGTGAGGGTGTGTGTGTGTGTGTGTGTGTATATTCATTCAAGGAGGACCTACAATTTCCTTTCATAGGTTATAAACTCCAAAAAGGCTTAAATAGTAAATCACTTGTTAAGAATGGTCATCTTTTAGCACAGACACCTCAAGATGTAGCACAGTGATACATCCAGTTCTTCTCTAAGGAGCTGCATCTCATTCTTTTAAAATAGTCTTATTAGAAATTTAAACCTCTACTTAGCAGTGCTTCCCAAAAACCAATGCTTCTTAAAGTGCTGTTATGTAGACTATTAATTACTGTTAACCAAAAGTATTCTATGCTCAATTTTGGAAATGTGGGATTAAAGAGTTAAATAAATTCTTTACCATAACGTTTATCAAGTCTTTATTAAGCTACCATACCTGTGCTCTATAAGGGAAAAGTTATTCCCTACTTGACCCGTGAATACTTCTTATCACAAAACACTATTAACTGTACCTAGAAACACGTTTCAAGAAACACCACTTGGGAAACAATAGTACTCTAATCTTAAGCCTTTAAAGATCCTCCTTCCTGTCTTTAACAATTATTTATTATGTATCCCAAATGGAACAGGAGACAAAGAACATTGGATACAATGGGGAAGGAACAGACTAAGTCCCTAAAAGAAGCTAGAAGGTTAGTGATTCAGGTGACTCTTGAGAAAACACCAATTTAACAAATCAAAAGAAAAGTTAACAACTTACTATAACACTGGATACAAACTTGATCTAAGATAGCTGTAAATTTGGGTGTCAATGGTGGCAAAGGTTCCAACTGGATTCTTTTGAAGTCGTCAGGACATTCCCTCTTTAGATGACCCTCTCGTTTGCATAAACTGCACACTACTGTAGGGGACTACAGGAGGAAGGCAAAGCAAAACAAGACTTAGGATAAAAGTTTATTTGCCAAGTAAAGAAGCCCTACACCTTTTTTTTTTTTTTTTTTTTTTTTTAAGTACACAGTCTACTCTTCAAATTCCATAGGAATCCTATATAATAAAAGCCTAATATGCTAATGGTAGGGTAAGGCAACTCAACCATTCAGTATGATGTGCACAGACCACCAGGGGCCAGATGCTCTGGTTGGTAGGTTAGCTTGCAGTTGGGATCCAGCTGATAGGGACTGAGGGAGATGGGCCAGGCATGCTATGGAGCCCTTCTGCAGTCCCCCGCTGGCTGGCCAAACTCCTCCCCAGCCCTGAGAGAACACCAGTGGGGCCTCTCGGCCTGGTCTGCACCCTCTCACAATCCAGGACCCTTTGGGGGATGTTGTAGAGCTGGTTTCGGCCCGATCCCACAGGCCAGGCCAAGAGACCCCACTGGTGCATGAATTTGTGCATCGGGCCTCTAGTGCAAATAAAAAGTGGAGCCATTCCAAGCTATCTGGGATGGGGACACCCAGATGGCATACTCAAGAGGAAAAGGCAGTTATTTTCACTACCAACAGCATTCCCTTTCTCCTGTGCAGATTTCCATGAAACTAAGGAGGCAAGTGGACCAGTACTGGAGTTGTAGACCAACTCATTAACCACTACCAAAATGGGGAGCCCCCTGTTCTAATATATAAAATTGTAATCACATGTATTACAACTGTTTCTGGTCTCCCAGGTCTATGTCTAAGACGGGCACTGATTACTTACCTTGCCTTTGGTGAAGGTGAGCTTACTAAATTCATAGAAGTTAGATGGATCCATGGTTGAATTTTCTTCACATACATTTTCCTCCTTAAGACTGATTTTATTAAGTTCTGTTAGTAGAGCTCCATCCACCTCTTTCCCACATTCTTTCGAGTCTTCACACTTAGACTCGCCTACCTCCTCATTCTCTTCAGATAGGGCATCCTCATCCCCTGATCTGGTGTAGGCATTGTCTAACCCATCTACATTAACACCATCCTTCTCATCTTCTTTTCGGGTAACGCCCTCCTCCTTCTCTTCACCAGAGTGAATGACTCCTGATGTCTGGCCCCCTTTTAAAGGGGCAAGGTGGCTTGGACAGTCTTCTAGTACATCAACATCTACGTTATTACCTAAAGTAGCAAATCCATCACATTCTTTAGCTGTAGAGCTTTGGAAACCTTCTACATCCAAAGTGCAATCTGTCTCAGTATTTCCTGTGCTACCAGAGGTGAGAGGCTCTCCATGTTTGCTACTGCTTAAATCTTGAGCATCAGCAGTCAAAGGATGCTTGCCCTCCCTTCCAATTTTTTCTTTCTCAGCTTTACTTCCAGTTTCTCCGTGGTGTACATTAACATCCTCATGATCATCACAAGTAACTTCTACCTCGATACAATCTCTGTTTTCCAGCAGAACATTGATGTCTCTGCTTCCTATTCCCTTTGCTGGTGGGCTTCCAAAGCTTTCAGCAGTGTCTTTGAGAGTAACTGGCTGTGCCTTGGAGGTAGTTGCAGTTGAACTGGGAGCACTGGGACCTTGAACAACAACTGAGTTTTTGAGTTTATCATTTTTTGCTTGTAAATCTGGATCATGCTTTGCTACTTCTTTAGAATGTCCTGAACATGTAACAGTACTCAGAGGCTTCGGAAGGCTAGATTTTGTAATTTTGTGTGGAAGAGCAAAATATTTATATGTTGTTCTTAAACAATGAAGTATGTATTCAAACACAGGTTGACTATTTAGGGTTCTTGCCACATTCCTTTTAACAGAGTAGGGATCTGGAATGAAAAAAAAAATCCATTGCATAAATTTGCATTACATATTTTTAAAATTAGCCTGCTCTAGATAAAAATAGACAATAATTATAAAATTCAGCATGTATCTTATCTACGCTTTTAAAAACTTGGAGATGGGAGAATGAAGATTAGAGTTTAAGAACAAAAAGAAATGTTTTCTTAAATATCTGCTCTATGAAGAGAACCCATTCTGTTCTGAACCAGTACCTCTTCCCTATTTTGTTCTATGACTATGGAGGTAAAAAATATGTCCTGAGTGTAGCTCTTGTGCCTGAGGAAGTGAGAGCTTTCTACCAGGTTCTGCTGAGTGCTCTGCCTCCCCACTCAGCCAGGCTGTGTGGTCTGTACAGCTTACCTCCACTCTTCTGCCCTGGGAAGCCCCATCACTGAACTGGCTGAGCTGAATTCAGGGGTGGGAGGGAGGCACCAGGAGACACCACTTCTCTCAATCTTTTCTCTTCCCCTAGACTCCAGCAGGTTAGGCAATTGGCCAGAAGAGCTGAGCCAGAGAAACTGCAGGGAGGGTTTAAAAAGGTGAGATCCCTATGACTGTACAAAGAATTTATGCAAAATGCAAAAAACAAAAACAAAAACCACCCTCTAATGCAATATAAAGCTTGAAAAAAATCAAGCAAAAATAAGAGATTTCCATTTAGGAGATTCTTTAAAATATTTAAAGAAGGAGAAGTAAGATTTCTAGAGAGGTTTCAATTACCTAACTTTGAAAAGCTAAGAGCTAGTCCATTTAATGAAGTCTATGGGGCACATCATCATAAAATAAAATAAATAAAAATTTATTTTATTTTAATTTATTTATTTTTAATTCTCACCTGAGGATGTTTTAGAGAGAGGGAGGGAGAAGGGGAGGAAAGTAGGAAAGGAGGGAGGTAAGGAAAGACAGACAGAGACAAAGAGACAGGGAGAGCGAGAGAAAGAGAGAAAACCATCAAGGTGAGAGAGAAACATTGATTGGTTGCTTCTGACCAGGGACTGAACCTGCATCTAGATATATGCCCTGACCGGGAATTGAACCCAAAACCTTTTGGTCTATGGGATGACACTCCAACCAACTGAGTCCCCAACCAGGGCCACATCAGTATGTCTTTTAAACAATGTTTTTAATTAAAGTTCTAAATGTTTCTGCAGATATTCCAAAAATAACTTATCTTTTCCATGGTGAGGAATCTAACAAAGAATGTTATTTTGCACAAGAAAAAGTATTATCCTCAACATCTGTAAAACTAAACACCACCAACAATTCATGAAATGACTCAATTAAAAAATACAGAAATGGCCGAGACCGGTTTGGCTCGGTGGATAGAGCGTCGGCTTGGGGACTGAGGGGTCCCAGGTTCGATTCCGGTCGGGGGCATGTACCTTGGTTGCGGGCATGTCCCCAGTAGGGGGTGTGCAGAAGGCAGCTGATTGATGGCTCTCTCTCATCGATGTTTCTAATTATCTCTCTCCCTTCCTCTCTGTACAAAATCAATAAAATATATTAAAAAAAAAAAATACAGAAATGAGCCAAGACCGGTTTGGCTCAATGGATAGAGTGTCGGCTTGGGGATTGAAGGGTCCCGGGTTCGATTCCGGTCAAGGGCATGTACCTTGGTTGTGGGCATATCCCCGGTAGAGGGTGTGCAAGAGGCAGCTGATCGATGACTCTCTCTCATCGATGTTTCTAACTATCTCTCTCCTTTCCTCTCTGTACAAAATCAATAAAATATATATATAAAAAAATACAGCCGAAACCGGTTTGGCTCAGTGGTAGAGCGTCGGTCTTCAGACTGAAAGGTCCAGGGTTCGATTCCGGTCAAGGACATGTACCTTGGTTGCGGGCACATCCCCAGTGGGGGGTGTGCAAGAGGCAGCTGGTCGATGTTTCTCTCTCATCGACGTTTCTAGCTCTCTATCTCTCTCCCGTCCTCCTCTCTGTAAAATATCAATAAAAATATATTAAAAAAAATACAGAAATGAGGATATTAAAAGAAGAAAGGGGATTTGTACATCACTGGGAGAAAACTTAAGGGTTCAAGTTTTTAAGCAATTTACAAAGAAAGCAAGGACTTAGCTTTATTTTAGTTGCTTGAGTAAGTAAGATGCATTTATTGCTGCATTTAAGAAATACATTTTAAAACAAAAAGTTTAGTTACTTGTAATGACCACTGTAATGCATACAAGATCCTATCTGTTTCACATTTGGGGTCAGGCCTACCTTACATGTAGGAACTGAAAAGAGGCTGAAATAAAAAACATGCTGTTAGACAGATACCTTAAAATATAAAAAAGGATTTAAAGATAAACATTTTGGGATACCTTCGATGGCAATGCGCTTTTTGGGCCAATCCTTTGATTCACGAGATATCATTTCTTTGACTCGGATACTTATCACTAAGTCAGCCAAATTAAATTCTAAAGCATAGAATCGAAGCAATTCCACCCAGAGCTGCCCAACTGGCACTGAAGGCTGGTGTTTTAAATCAAATATTAATGATACCTATTAATCGCAAAGAGAAAACACAGGTATTTCAGATTTTAGCACAATTTGAAAAATCAGCATTCAAAAGCATGAAATTCTTAAAAACCTTAGCAAAGATATGAATTTGACAACCATTTAGATAAATCACATTCTAGTTTTAATTTTGCTTGTAGAAAAATAGCATTCTTTCACTACACTGCTGGGATTAGAGTATTTTAAAACCTTGTCAGAATCATAGGAATAGACAGGCAGTTGTATGTAATCAGACAGTACTCCTAGTTGTGAAGTTTTAATGATAGGTGGAGAGAACTGTGCATCTATTTCATTGAGCTCTCCCCCTGTTTCTGCTTCTGGAGGACACCTTTACAATGTTACACACAGAAATGGGAGGCAGCTAAAAGCAGAGAGCAAAAGGAAAAATGCTCCCCTCTTGCTCTGAGAAGCTACTTAAGCTCACTGAATGTTTAGTGATGTTAAATTAATTTAAAGTCAAGTAACTCTCTATATCAGCTATTATTGTTAGTTTTACATTTACAGACTCTTGACAAGTCGAAATACGCTGTCATGTAATTAATTAGAAAGCACACAGGACTTAGAATAGGGAAAAAAAGTGTCCAATTCTAATTCTGCCACTTCATAGTTCTTAACTGCTCTGTGACTTAGCTTCTTTATTCCCATTTGGCAGTATAGCACAGTGGCTAAGAGAACTGGCTTTGGAATGAGACACGCTTAGGTTTGCAATCCCATTCTGCCATGTGCATGATCCTAGTCAAGGTATATAAGCTGTCCAAGCCTCAGTTTCCTCATGTGAACAATGGGGATCACAGTACCCACCTCATAGGGTTGTTGGGAGGATTGAGTGAGAGAGTGTCTGAAAAGAGCTTAGCACAGTGCCTGGCACACATGTTCAAAAAATGGTCGCTATCATTATCTGCAGAGTAGGGATGATACCACCTATAACACAGGATAGTTATGAGGATTAAATCAGAAACAAGGGAAAGCAGACGTGGTTGCTCTCTGTATTTTTTCACTTAGATAAAATCTTTAAGTACAAGAAATCCATTTATCACTGAAACATAGTTACAACTGTAAGATGCTATTAAGAAGTAATCTAGTTCAACTCCCGTATGTTACAAGAGAAGAAACTGAAGCCAGAGAGTTTACCTGACTTGTCAAAGGTCCCACTGCTTATCAGTGGCAGAATGAGAACAGTCTCCCATCCCAGTACAGTGCTATTTCAATCACACCAAGCAATTTTGAGTTTAGATATCCCTTTCAGAAGTGGCAGCATGATTACTCTCTCCAAAATAACGATAGTCTTTAATTGGACTTACAGTATTAGCTTTTCCTTCTAAGGTATAAATTTGTTCCTGATTGCACTTTATTATATCACACTTCAAAACAAGTGGTAGAGTATTTTTATAACTACTACATCTCAACCACACAGGACCTATCTAATAAGACAAAGTCACCTGGTGGATTTACAAAGCAGACCTGGTTGAAAAAAGGAAGTTGTCTAGGTCCCAAACTCTATATAGTTGAGGACACAAAGAAAACCCCCAGAAACTGAAACCCTTATAAAATTTTACATCTTCATCCATATGGCTTATTCAGCATTACTAAGGATTTTTAAGCATCTCACTGAAATGACTTGGTAATACTGTACTATGGAACTTAGATAGACTTTTCATCTATCCAAACCAGTGGTACTTCAGTGTTGTTTTTTTAAAGTAGAGAACACTTTTGTTTTGGCACTGAGTTAAGCATTCTATAAATCAATGACCTTATGAGAGGGTACCAATATCATCCCCATTTTTAGGTGAGGAAACTGGGGCCCACAGAAAGATTACATCACTTGCTCAAGGACACACAAGCTAGGTAGTGGGAGAGCTGGAATACAAATATACATATTCTGGCTCCACAGACTGTGCTCTTATCTACAACTGGAACCATAAATAGGACAAAAGTGTTGCTGTGCTGGTGGCAGCAGAGAAAGACAGGTTCCCCTTCAGGATTATAGAAAGCAAACTGGAGTATCTATGATTCACCATTACCTCCTCTTTCTAGGCATGGACTAGAAGAGTGACATGACTTACTGGTGTAAAGCTGGGATTAAAATCCTAGTCTCAGAAGTAATTTGAGGATATTATTATCATATCACTCCCAAGGGTTATAAGGTTGTGGGGTCTGCCCCAATTTGGGCCAAAATCCTATTCTTTTCCTTTTAAAGTATATTTTTATTGATTTCAGAGAGGAAGGGAGAGGGAGAGAGAGATAGAAACATCAATAATGAGAGGCCGAAACCGGTTTGACTCAGTGGATAGAACGTCAGCCTGCAGACTGAAAGGTCCCAGGTTCGATTCCAGTCAAGGGCATGTACCTTGGTTGCTGGCACAACCCCAGTGGGAGATGTGCAAGAGGCAGCTGATCGATGTCTCTCTCTCATCGATGTTTCTAACTCTCTATCCCTCTCTCTCTTCCTCTGTAAAAAATCAATAAAATATATTAAAAAAATAATAATGAGAGAGAACCACTGATTCGCTGCCTCTTGCATGTTCCCCAGTGGGATCAAGCCCACAACCCAGGCATGTGTCCTTGGCTGGAATCAAACCTGCGACCCTTAAGTCCACAGGCTGATGCTCTATCCACCGAGCCAAACCAGCTAAGGCTGAAATCCTATTCTTATTACTAGTATAGTTATACTGTTTAGATTTTTGTTTGAAATTTAAATGGCAATTCTTTCTTTGTGCATAAACGTCCCTGCCCACCCCTAATAGTATGGAAACAAGTTCATATAATTATTCATTGTTATTTTAATAATCTGAGGTTAACGTTTTATCTGTTTAAACCTCATAATACCATCTATGATCTAAGTACTTGGAGAATAGGTAGGCCTTAGCTTTGAATTCTCAGTATTTTCCATAGTACCCTGCACACAGAACTACATCAATAACTGTAAATCTAATGTTGTGAATTTTACCTTTTCTCATTACTCATCTACTCAAAGGACTGCACAGACTAGGAAATGAAACATCAACGAAACAGTTAAGATAAGTGAGGAAAGAAGAGAGAACTGATTAATTAATGAACTCTACAATTAATGACAGAATTAAAAATAGATGGTAAAATTAAAAATAAGAGAAAACACACCTGTCCTGTTTGAACAGGTATCTTTTTTTGTGCCTCTTCTTTTGTTGTGCCTGCATCCCCTGTGGCATTATCAGTGTATTCCCAGACCACGACGTCTTTCTGAATATCTTTTAGGTTGAAGTTGCCTAGTTTATTTAATGAGAATCCTTCAATCTAGAGAAAAATTAGACATACATTGTTATAAGGTAGAAACAATTTTATATCAATCAGAACACATTAATCCTGAGAGGAATGAGAAGATAACATACTATGGTTCATTAAAAATGTAAAAGGTATCAGCTATGAAATTTTTGAGATATTTATAAATTTTTAAAAATATTTTTTTGAAGTAAAAAATAAAGTTTTGATTTGCAAAATAAATAATTTGTGAAATAACTCTTTAGTAAATAAGAGAAGGCAAAATGGTCACAAGTTCTGCAGTAAATCTGTTTGGGATAAAATCTCAGCTCCTGGGGTGGGAATAGGTAGAAGAGGCTATGGGGGGGGGGGATAAATGGTGATGGAAGGAGACTCGACCTGGGGTATGAACACACAACATACAGGTGATGTATGATATAACTATACACCTGAAACTTATATAATTTTATTAACCAATGTCACCCCAATAAGTTCAATATAAAAAAAAGTGAAAAACAAACCTCAGCTCCCTCATGACTTTCTTTAGGTCTCAGGCTTCTGTTAAAAGAGATAACACTAGAACCTCCTTCATGGATAGTTGTGACATGAAATAATGGAGATAAAGGATTCAGATACAGGTATGGAATGGAGTAAATGCCAATAAATGTAAGAAATTGTTTCTACTGATATTGCTGAATTACAAATTGCTAAAAAAAAAAAAAAAGTCTGGACTCAAAAGGTCTAAGAAACGTGGACAAATCTGAATAGGTTTCTTGAGTGTTCAATGTGATTTATCATAAGCCTTGAAACAGGTATATACAATGAATGTGGAGTGGGGTGATATGGTATACTATTTCCCAAATATATTTCCGTATCAAATGGACTACTACTTTGATTTAGCAGAGTAATCATTCCAGAAAGAAAGAGAGAGAGAGAGAGAGAGATAGAGAGAGAGAGAGAGAGAGAGAGCATGTTGCTCTCAGTTATAATGGTTTCTTTCAAACTCAGAATGAAATTCACAGCCCTTTCCAGGGCCAAGAGAGGGTCCACATAATCTGGCTCTTTGCTTCTTCTCTGACCCATCTTCCTGACTCACAGTTGATACCCGCTACTTCTTCTGCTCAGAAGGTTCTTTCCCCCAACATTCAGGTAGCCCACTCTCCTTCAATGCATTCAGGCTCTGCTCAAATATCTTTTTCTCTAAATAGATCCTTCCCTTTCACATTCTATCCCTCCTCTGTTTTATTTTTCCTCAGAGAAATTACTGCCACTTGATATTTACCTTTCTCACCTCACTGCATATAGAAATTTGAGGACAAGGATGTTGTTTTGTTCACTGCTCTAACTCTAGCATCTAGAACAGTGTCCAGCACAGGTAAATGCTCAATAAGGACTTGCTAAGTGACTCAAAGAACAAACTGCTCTTACAGAAAATACGAGGTGCGGTGACTGTTAGATTTATATATTCAATATTTTTCTTTAATTCTGTAGCTTATGTTTTTTTTTGGTTGGGTTTTGAAGAGTAAAACATTTCTAAAGACCTTATCAATATTTTTCTCTATTGATGTGGTTTGCACTTTTAGTTTTCTACCTAAGAAATCCTTGCTTATCCCCAGGCTGCAAAGGTTTTTCTCCTAGGCTTTCTTCTGGGCATTTTATAGTTTTAACCATGTCATGTATGTCTCTGATTCATTTTGAGTTAATTTCAGGGTATGCTGTGAGGCAAAGATTTAATGTTCATTTACGGATATCTAGTTTTTCCAAGATCAATTGTTGAAAAGATTTCCTTTCCTCCAATGAATTGCTTAATTGGGGCAAACTGCTTAATTGGGGCAAGTCATTCGAATTTCAGACCTGGATGTGACAGAAAGCATTATCCACTAACAGTTGACTTTGTTCTTTCATTCTTTTTTCCTACCAGAGAAGAGCAGTCTAGCAAAGATACCTTCTCAAGGCCCTGAATTCTTTCATTTTAGTACTAGAAACACAAAGAGAGCTCCCTTCGGCAACCTGACACAGAGTGGACTGAAACTCCTTACTCCAGGACAGAGTTTATAAGGGGCTTATTTTGCTTTAGTCTTTATTCCTGGGTCTTGGCAGATAAAGGATGATGCTTAATTCTTAATCTATTAAGTAAAGAAAAAACTATCCCCATCCCTCTATGTATCCACTAAGTAACTACTACTCTGATAAATGTTCCTTAAATATTGAGAATTCTACATGTGGTAAGAAGAAAGGTAGTTAAAATATCCAAATGTACCAAAGTTAGCTTTTCCCTAAGTGAGACTTTCTATAAAATAAGTGTACACAGATTTTATTAAGATAAATACCTCGGCATTAAAAGAGAGTTTAATTGTTCTTAAAGATAGTACCAAAATATTATTATTCTGCATTAGTAGCAGTTCTTATATCAAATTATAAAACTATACCCTGATACAGTGTGTACCAAATGATAAATTTATTATAGGTTCACATTTTCTTGTTTGAAACCCTCAGGATCATATGTGTTTCACAAGTGTTTTCTTCAATTTAGAATAGTTCTCCCAGAAAAGGATAGAGCAGCATATTGTAAACAAATACATTAACATTTCAGCAGTTAAATTTATGAGTATTCACAATAGGATAAATAAATTCATGTCAATTCTGAGTAGGATTTTAGATTTTGAAATTATGCACAGGTATTGTGTGGTCCTGTAAAAAAAATCAATATTGAATATTGAAGTTTTATACCCATGATCCTAGATAAACAGGCAGAAGGGGCTCTTTCCTCTGTTGAAGAAAGAAGACAGTCATCAGGGCAAACACATATGGTGGCAAACCTCCTTCTTCAGGGCGATCTATGCTGCAAAGCTACAAATGAGAGAAAAAGAGGATAAGCTTTCATTTGTACCAACTTGTTATATAATTTGGTCTAAAACCTGTTACTTCTTTTCCTTGTATCACATGATTTACTCATCAAATAAAACACCACAGTGACAAAATGTAAAATGTCCTTATATTTTTGGAGCAACCACATACTGTGGTTTTGAGTAACGGCTTTAATTTCAACATTTTAATCTTGTTAACAACACATTTGTAAAGGATCCTAAAATACCATTTGCTGTTTCATTTTTTTTCACATCCAGAGTAAACCTACTCCCTTGAAAATGCATGCTTTGACCACATAAGTGATCAGGAGAGAGAATGAGGGCAGATTCATTAACACTAACAAAAACAACTTAAAAGCAATGGTCTAGCCCTGGCAAGAGTGGCTCAACTGGTTGAGCGTTGTTCTGTGCACCAAAAGGTTGCTGGTTCAATTTCCAGTGAGGGCACACACAGAAGGCAACTGATGGATGTTTCTCTCTCTTTCCTTCCTCCATGTGTATAATCAGGACTATTTTGTGATAAAGCAGGAGGCAGTTTTCAAAAAAGGCATACTGTAATTATCAACTTACCTAGTTAAGAGTGGGGTACTCTGTTTAGCCTTGACATAAGCCACAGTAACTATATGCACAGTTTGTTAAAAAAAAAAAAAAAAAAAAAAATATATATATATATATATATATATATATATATATATATATATATATATATATATATATTTTACTGATTTTTTACAGAGAGGCAGGGAGAGGGATAGAGAGTTAGAAACATTGATCAGCTCCCTCCTATACACACCTCTCCCCACACTGGGGATGTGCCTGACACCAAAGTACATGCCCTTGACTGTCATCTGCAGGCTGACGCTCTATCCACTGAGCTAAACCAGTTAGGGCTGTATGCATTGTTACTGCTATATATTAATCAGTGAAGCTTTGGGTTTTTCTCTATAAAGCACCTGCAGAGCAACTCATTTTTGTAGTCATGATGAGACCTTACATTTTGGGTGATGTTAAATTCTCTACTGGCATTTTAATTGAGATACTGTATTTAAAACATTATGAAAATGTAAGCAAGGCCAGACAGCGACTTTCGTTTTTTGGAGTCTCTGGTATATTACAGGAAATGAAGCTTTATCTCAAACTTTCTGGTGCCTTATAATCACCTGATAAAACTAGTTAAAATGTAAATTCTTGGGCCATTATCTTCCGGGATTTGACTCGCAAATCTTATTTATAATATGCACTATAAATCTTTTGAGCAATATTACTATACAGTGAAACAGAAATAATGAATTTCCCTTTCTGTGCACATTAAAATTTCTATTCCGCCCTAGCTGGTTTAGCTCAGTGGACAGAGCATTGGCCTGTGGACTGGAGGGTCCCAGGTTTGATTCCGGTCAAGGGCACGTGCCCGGGTTGTAGGCTTGATCCCCAGTAGGAGGCAGGCAGGAGGCAGCCGATTGATGATTCTTTCTCATCATCGATGTTTCTACCTTTCCCTCTCTCTTCCTCTCTGAGATCAATAAAATATATTTTTTTAAAAATTTGTCGCAATATTCAGATGCCTACTCTCTTCGTATTTATAAATATGCATCCAAACTTTAAGATTAAATTAACCATACAAAAATCAAAGCATACTGCTTATGCATACACAGAATGTATTCACAAACTTAAGCACTAGACCTACCTTTGCCCAGTACCTAAATGCAATCACCAAAGGAACCAGTTTTGGTTCTAGTTTTCCAAGGGCAGATAAGTGATTTGTTGTCAGACAAGCATGTTCATTTCCTGCACTCACTTTACAAATAAGACCACTGGTGTGGATCAGGGGTAAGGATGGGAAGGAAAAAGAGAAAGATAAAAAGTGTTATATAGGTATTAGGTATATTTTATGCCAACAACTAATTTACATTGATAATGAGGACTTTAAAAGTGAAAATAAAGTAAAAAAAAAAAAAAAAGCCCAAAACTTACTAAATCTTTATGGGTCACTTAAGAAAGTGTTTTTGTTGTTGTTTTTTAATAATAAAAAAAAATAGGACAGCCATTTTCTGAGTACATTTTATTTTCAGAACTAAAAATTATGTACTTTCATACATTAAAACTATTTTGTGTGGAAATTAAAATAAGGGAACACTATAAAATATTTTAAATGAGAGCACGGATTCCTATTTGTAAGTATAAAAGTGTTCTCCCAAGAGTTGGAGAAATCTGCCTAGTAAACAATCATTACAGCCTATAAACACCCACTTACAGTACTGATAGTACTTCCAGATGGAGGGAGAAATACATGAGTGAAGTCATCTAATTGCTATTTAGCAGTGCTAAAAATGCTGCTAAAAAAGATGGCAAAAGGTGATTTGAGCAAGTAGCTGATGAAATTGTTTTTCACCATGTTGAAATGGGTCAAAAAGCTTCCTTCCTCTATTTTTTCATTTAAATTTTTTTTATTCTTTTAAAAATTAGTTTCCTTTGCATCAATTACCAAAAGTATAGGGAGAAAGCTAGTAGTAAGCCTATGAAATTAACCACATAAGGACTCTGTGACTCTAGAAATTAGACATAAGATTTAGTGAAGCATAGAAAAAAAAGGTTTAGTGAAATACACGTGCTCGTGGCAAGTTGATATTTAATATATGAACAGCTTAAAGAAACAGACCTTTTCTTTTCTTTGCACACCACCATTGGCACCCTAGCATGAAAATCTGCATTAACATCAATAAAAGAATCTGAGGAAAGAAGACAAAGATGTTAAGTATGTTAATTATACTTTTGTTTAGAGAACTAGATAAAGTACAAGTTCCAGTTGAGATTTATCTGCTCAGCCTTTTTCAAAACCATTAAGTAAAGCTCCAAGGTGACTTGAAAAGAAGAAAGTATTATATTCAAGAATTAAGTAATCATGCTAATTAAAAACTCCTATTTTGTAAAACTATGTTTGACTGAAAATGACTATATTATTGAATTAAGACTGTTTAAATGTTATATGGATAACATTATTAGAAATATGGGTAGGCTATTCAAACAAAATTGCTGCAAAAGCTTCTAAAATATGGACAACTGTCAAATCTATCTGGGAACAAACATTTGTTGATTCATTAATCAGGGTTGGGTCACACCTATTTGCCATTAGAAAGTATTAATTTAAACCACCGTATAAAGCAGATTATCCTTCAGTTTTACCCCTCTGAGTAAATTTTACATATTTTGTGTCTTCTTAGACTTGGTCTAAGGTTCATTTAATCTTTACAAATTGTGACATTATCATCAAGCTAAATAATGACAAAGTTTCAGAAATGACATATTCAAATTATAAACAAAAGAAACATTTAAAAGCAAAATAAAGAAAGAATCTGGTCTTACCACTGTTCTTTAAACATTCCTGAACAAGTAGGAGAACATCTGGCTGGGACATCTAGAAAATAGATCAATGAATATATCAAATTATCTGTAAGTACTTTTGCTTCACTGAGATGATATACAGTCATCTGAAATTATCCAAACTAGATAGCACATTATGACCAGAGTAAAGAAATTAATCACTATGTTGGTCAGGGACAAAGAAATGAGCACCAAAAGAAGATGAATATGGGCAAAGGAGACGTACTACACAGTTAACTCCAAATTAATTTCTGAGTTACTTAGCCTCTCAGCAATTCTCAAAAGTTGTGGCTAGAAGTTGACATACTGTAAACAATATTACCACTCTCACTCTATGAGACTCAGTGAATATTTGCTAAATGAATGAATGAATCAAAATAAATTTTGTGCTGATAAATTACTAATCATAATTTAAGGTTAAAAGAATAGTAAAATCTATTGATCAGCTGACCATGGAGCAATAGTATGGGACGGCAAAGAATGAGGCCATGAAATAGAACATCTGTGGGTGGATTTGTATTTGAACAGCAACCCAGGTCAATTAAATTGACACAAACCATCTACACTGGCCTATGGTAACCACCAGTAGATAAATGTATAATTTACTAAAGTGCCTTCTAGTTTTAACATTCTGACTCATCAAAAGTTTTTTGAGTCATATTTAAACCAGAAAGCTAGGTCAAGTGTGGTTCTTCAAAAGCATAATTATTTCTGAGTGGCTGGGGATAATAGGATGGAATAATAATAATAAAAAAAGAGCATAATTATTTTAATAAAGTAGGTGTATAAAAGAGAAAACCTAGAAGCAAATTAAGCTTTCAGGTCATAAAAGTTATATATCAACATTGCTTAACATCTAAAATCCTTTCCAGCGCTGGAAAGTTGACTTTGCCAAGGTAATTTAATCATTTCAAGTTACCTGAACCTAAATAGTCCCATAAGATTCACATGGTAAGAATACCAGTATTTGATGTAGGAGAGATCTAAAGAGTAAAGTAAGTATGAAAAGCTAGAGAGTATTTGAAATAATGCCTTAAAACTGAAGACAGGCAAAAGAACATAAAAATAGAAATTTTTTGAAAAAAAGCTGTCACCAATTTATACTTAAACAAATCTGAAAATCTCTAAACTATATTTATATTTGAAATATAGCTCACATTTGAAAAAAAGAATTTCCATATCACTCGATGAAAATTCCAACATTTAATTTTGTACTTACAATGGCTGGAAACTGAATGTCAATGTTTACATCCGAATTTTTGAAACCCAACTGGCTACAGGATGACCCATATAATCTTAGAGAACATTCTAAAAAAAAAAAAAAAAAAAAAAAAGTAAATAAATAAAAGTCATAAATAAGGTAAAATTTCTTGCAAGTTATAACAAAGCACTGTTATTTCAGAAATAGGATCATCAATTAAAACTATACATAAAAGCAAAACACTATTCAAGTCTGGCATAAACAAAGGATAGCAAGGGTGACTCTTTGCTCTTCCCTTGTGTTATGTTGTGTTGTGTTGTATTATGTAATGTTATGTAATAGGGAAGACTGCATTGACAGTGATTTAGCATAAGGGCAACTCTTTTCAGTTGTAAAACATATTTTAAAAATTCCTAAATTATTTCACATTTTGTGCAAAAAATAATACTTGCTATCATTTTTTACATGTTTAAATGTGAAAGTGAAAAAGAAATGGCTAGCTTTGTTTTATATTTATAAACCTGGTGGTACACTAAAGAGTTAACGCAAACACTTCACCTTTTAGAAAGGCCACATAGGTGTAATTTACTATTAAGATTGTGTTTCTATACACCAATAATCATAAAAATGACCTTCAGCTTGAAGTTTTTTAATAGTAATACTCATATTATAAACAAGCAGCATTTAACATAATATAATCCCTTTAGGAAAACTTTTGAAAAATAATTATATAACTGATACAATTTAAAACACTAAGCAAAACATGTGATTATATGGCCTGTATTAACCACTCAATGTTTTACCACTATTGTGCCAAAATTTTATCCTTTCTCATCAGGAAACTTTGTGGGTGTCCCCCCGCTCCCCAGATTAAGTCAAGTGATTTCTTTAGGCTTTAAAAGTTTCTCATGGAAAAAATACATTCAATTTTACAATAGAAGTCTATGGCAAAAAACACCAAAATTATAAGTGACTTTTGGGAACTATCTAAAACATAATGAGGTCCCTATATAATGAAATGAGCAGATTCTACCCTTTATTTTTATGAAAGCATGTATGTATATGAGTGATATACTATATGTAATGATCTCACTGTGGAACAAATGGTTCTATGGGTAATGATGTAATAATTAAAATAGTGATTTCAACCCTAGCTATATTTTAGAATCACTTGAGAACATTCTAAAAAATAGTTTCCCATGGTTCCACAGACATAATATGGAGAATGAATTCACCAGTACACAAAATCTATTACACATTAGTTTGCAAAACTCATTTTAGATATTATAAGTCTTTTCAGTGTGGTTAAATAGACCTTTTTTATTTTTCTTTTTATTTTAGAACCTTTTACAGATATGTGAAACTGACTCCAATATACTTTTTATTTTAACTCAAAATATTTTGTCAATTTAAATAGGTAGAATGGTAATCAAATATATACATAAGAGTCCCATAGTGCCCCACTAACATGGGGTATTTAATTTCAAGTACATGCACATAATAAAATTCATAATGAAAACAGGTTTAATGACAATACATGTAAAAGTCTTTGCTTCCTCAGGGGAAGTCAGAAAAACAAAAACAGGAGAAAAGTAAAGATATGGCAAATCAATTTCTATTAGGTGAAAATTATTTACTAGTAGGAAAAATTATTAAAGTACCTTTAGCTAGCTAAATAGAAAAACAAATCTAGAAAATACCTGGTAACTTGTGTTGAAACACATTTTCCATAATACGTTTAATTTCTAGTCTCTGTTCCAAGTTCTCATTGAGTAATCCAAACTCCTGTACAACTTTGTCAATGGCAATGCCAATTGCATTTATCTGGGAGGGTGTAGGCGGTGGTAATGTAGTGAGCAACTCTTCCTCCTGCTTCTCCTTTTAAGATCAATGTTGAGATTAAAAAATGACACACATTTTTAACCTTCTACCATTTACCAAGACAACACTATAGTATATTCTTAGCCTTCCCTTTTACTTTAGCTATGTTAGTTTTCATGTTATCAAACATTTCTTCATGCATATAAAGTGATCATAGAGGGAAGACAGGAATAAGAAAAAAGTGCTAAATAAGAATATTAAAAATAGCAATGACAAGTTATATAGAATTCAGTTATTAAGGAGAAGAAAGTCACAAAGACAAGAAATAACTGACAGATAAACATTTGTTTTGGTTACATTAAACTTACCTTAATGTTTTTCTTGTGCCTCTTCTCTTTGATATGCTTATGGGCAAATGGAATGGATTCAATGAAAACATCACAAAGTTTGCAGGTATACTTTGCTGTAGGGTAGTTTCTTGGTCGCTATAATTTAAAGAGATTTATTGATATATATCCTCAAAACGATAGGTCAACAAAAATTAGGCAGAAAATGATTTCCCCTCCATTTTAAAAATTGTTACTTTGTTACTGTCACTTTATTACTATCCTAATAGTCATTTTTATTTAAGTAACTCATTAAATCAAACTATCTCTTGTAGCTTGTAATCCTTCAATACTAATAACCAAAGTAGGATATCTAATTCATCAAAGCACATATCCCCAATTACTAACACAGTTTGAACAAAACAAGGATTTTAACTAACAAATAAAAGATGTTAGTTACCCTTTTCAGCCTGTCAATGCAGTCCCTTTTCAATCGCTCCTCAGCCTGCTGTAAACCCAGGAGCTCCTTTGCTGAAAGCACAGACTCGTCAATCACAGGGCCTTCCAACTCCCCGTCCAGGTCACTTTCCCCATTTCTAGTCCTCCGTGGCTTCCTAGGTCTGGACTTCTGCCTCTTGTCTTCTTAAGTTAAGAAAGAAATATTATTGGTGATATTAAATATCAGAACTGACTAAAAAGCAGAATTTATGTATTAAGGAAATCGTGTAATACCTGAATGACAATTGAACACCGAGCATAAGGAAAGGGACAGGCATGGATAGTATGCTGAATACTCATTAAGCACCTCATCTAGATACATTAATACATAGAAATAGGTGCTTTTTAAACGTAAAAGGAATTCTACTTCAATCATATAATTTGATTGTATCATCTTTTTGGTATATTGCTGAAAGTATCCTCTGTAGGCGAGTATACCTGTTCTAATATACCTAATATATCATCGTAATATATAATATACATGTATCTACTATATTCTAATATGAGGGGCTTGGTGCATGAAATTTGTGCACATTAAAAGGGAATTAATTAGAGGGAATATTTTAATATTGCTATTTGCCCTTTCCCTGTAGTGAAAGTGACAGAGAGAAAAGAAATTAGTAAAATGTATATGAAAATCTAATTCTGTCAAGAGTCTGAGATGTGCCTCGGGACCCAGAGTCAAGTCCCCCACACTGCTCGCACCTCAAAATTGCGGGAGACCCAGACCTGGCCAGCCCTGCAGGGCTGGGGGGGGCGCAGTCTCAGGTCCCCTGACTCTGGGATACAGCCTCAGGTTCCTGTCAAGCCCTGCCAGGCGGGGCGGGGCGGGGCGGGGTGGCACGGCACAGCCTTAGGGGTGGGGCCTCAGCTCCCCCACATCAAGCTCTGCCAGGAGGGGGCACAACTTCAGGTCCCCCAGCCTGGTGCGAGGGCGTGGCCTCTGATTCCGTGCCCCCCCTCTCCCCCTGCCCTGGCGCCAGGGGCCCCAGCATGAGGGCACGATGACTATTTGCATATTAGGGCTTCATACCTGTTATCCTAATTAAAACTACCCACATTTACTTTCACTTTCATAAGTGAACAAAATCAATAGCACAGATGGACAACATATTTCCAAAGATCTCAGAAATTAACTACATTCTTATCTAAAGTGAAAATTCAGTCTTCACATAATTGTCCCCCCACATTAATATCAAGAAGTTTAAACCAAAATTTACTGAGGATAACCATTTTCCTTTTATCTTTACTTTCATTTTCATTTCTTCAATGGCATGCACACTGAATATATTTCAAAGGAAGAAACAATTAGTAGCTGAACTAAAAATTTTCTTTAAGTATACACTAATTCTCACTTGTTTATAGACTATGCTGTTCTACAATCCTTATACTAAATGAATCTGTCACTTCTTTAAAAATATGTGTAACTTTTAACTTGTGAAACTAAAAGTAATTGTGAGATTGCTTTATAAAAAATTTGTCTTAAATAACTTTGATAACTTCCCTTAAGTCCTGAAAAATGAAACTATTAGTAACACATGCAATTAAAGTTAAATTCATTTCTCCAATTAAAATTGTGGTAAATAGACTGAATGACTTGAATGGAAATAGAGCTTCTAAATGGCTTATCAATAACTAGTCTGAAAATAGAAACCTGCAATGCCCTGCATAAGGCAATTCCTATTAAGTTTCCATTGGAACTTATTACTTGTATAGAAGGTACAATAAGTCAGTTAATTGGGGAAAAAATTGTCAGAAAAGGGAGATGTAGGACCTTTACTTTACAAAAGCTATCTGCCAATAGTTCTAAAGGGAAATCAGCAAGCACTGTGTTCAAACTACCATAAGATGAATATAGTGAAATTCTGCCAACAGTTTCTGTACTACAGTAAGAGGCAATTAAACAAAATTAAAGAAGAATTAGGACAAATACAGTTTTATTTTTAAAAGCAATCAACACAGACCAAACAAAATAGTAAAAAATAGTCATTAGAAAAAAAAAAATCAGTCTACAATTTAGTACCTGCTTTTAAATACTCCCCCTACTCCCAATTAAAATATAAATCTTTTAAGGACAGTACTCTTGGTCTGCCCTAAACTTCTTAAATAGGAACTTCTTTTATTTTAAAGGTATGTCTATTTTCATTTAATTTGCTTGTCATTACCAACTTTAAAAAATTGCATCTGATTTCAGTATTCAGGACAGAACTTTCTTACTTAGGCAAACACTCATTAGAGATTTATACCAATATGTGCAATACCCATTAGAAAAGTCCATATTAGTCAAAAACACTAAGTGATATAGAACCAAATTCCTTTTTTTAATCCCTCTTCTCTTTCCCACTCACAAAGACTGCTTAAATATAACTATATTTGCTGTCATTTTCTAGAAAGAATGACTTCAATTTCCCTCCAGAGAACACAATTAACCCCTTATTGTTTTTATACAGAGAAGTGGCTACAGAAATTCTGTCTGATGCTGATGATAACAGCAGCTACCATTACAGAATATTTTATTATGCAACAGATGCAATAAAAAGCAGTTTATATGGCATTGCCTCATTTAATCCCCACAGTGATCCTGTCATGGATGCTAAAAATTACTCCCATTGTATAGATTAGGGAAATGCTAGTCCAGGAAAATAAGTGACTTGTGCAGAGACACATGACTAAGTCAAAAGAAAGGGATTTGAAACAGAGATTAAAGCATAGGTGAAATCCTTAAATTCAGCCTTGTAACAATATACAATAGTTCTAAAAACAACTAATTAAAATCTCTTCTTGAAGCAAATTCATTCATAACTGGAACAGACCAGTACTGATAAGGTAATGTAACCTTATGAACCTCACAGGCCTGCATAGTAAAAATAATCAAATAAAATCTAGCTGTTGGGAATCAGGAAAGCAAAGCTGGGTTTTGCTAAAAAAATTTTCCATTATTACTTAGACTATCTGGCTTATCCCAAGTTTTTTGGTAATATGAATGAATACTCTATATACAGTATTCTAAGTTTCCCATATTTTACTTGTATATGAACCATATTTTACTTGCATATGAACCATTATTCCATTCACAAAGGACATGTATATTTGGGTGGATGCTTTCCAGCTAAGATTATTAATGGAACTGTCCCAAATATGATAAATTGGCAACCTAGGATATTTGAGAGATGAAATGTGAGTGGTAATAGAGAATCGAAAAATAGACAGTATTAAAAACAAAGCAACTCGAGATAATTTCACTACATTTTCTCACATCATTTAATAAGATCCTTCCTTATCAAGACAATTTTAATTTCAGGAAAATTTCAATTCCTTTAATGAAATCCTTTTTAGGAATCTTTGAGTGTAATACAAAGTTTAAATTTCTCTCTATAGTGAGCAATGTTATACCAAAGTTTAATATTTCCTGTATGAAGATTTTCAAGAAATAGAGACTTAAAAGACCTTTAATTAGCATTTGTGAAAGAATACACCTGCATTTCTCAGAAAGAAAACATGGGGAGCTTTCAATAAAGACAGTGAAAACATATTTCCTGTTCAAAACCTCTTAAAATCAAACCAACTTATTTTAAAACGAAACACAAATACAATATAAGAGGTTTTTGGTATGTAAACAATCCCTTTTAATATCTTTCTGGTTGTAAACTATTGATCTATAAGTCTTTCTTTTCATAATGCTGCTCAACATCAAATTTTCTTTTCTAAAAAGCCAATTACTGGCTAACTCAATTAAAATGTCCATGTCCCACAGACACAATAATACACAAATACTTAAAATTACACAAACTTTTAAAAAGAAAAACACAAATTGCAAGTCCAGAAATCATCAATGCGTGTTCAGTTTGCCAGATTTCCGGTCCTGCGATGCTGAGTTAGCAGCCAGAGCAGCACAGTACACGATTTCAGTTTCATTTCCTCATCTACCATTCTACATAAACAAGTCTGGATAATTTTAACTCCTCTGAGCCACAACTTCCTGCTTTGTAAAACTTGATTCTACCTTTGGTATATCACCACAGACAATTCCTTCAAGTTCTTTACAGCTTCAAGGTTTCCGAGGCTAAGATTGGATCTCTCCCATCCATTTGATTCCTAATACCTCTTTCTGTTTTGGCTCTTTGATTCAAAGCATTTTCTTTTGCTTTTCCTATTTAAAAAAATATAAAATAACACCCTTTCTCCCATTTTATACTTTCATAAGACCCTCTAAAGATAGAACATAATGTTTTTCCTACTAAGACCTCTAAATGTACAGATGACCTGTCAAAGTGCTATCTAGTTTGCAACTCATTCTATATGGCCCTTTCCTTCAGTCACAACTGGTTTCCTTGCTCTTCCTGGAATGTACACGCTCTGTCATAGCCTTTTCACAGGGGTGGGAGTAGAGGACATTTTCCTCAAAAATTCCCAGTGGTGGCTCTCTCACTACCTCAGTGAGGGCTACCTTGATCAATCTATTTAAAAAGTGTCAACCACCTCTCTCCCTCACTCCATAGGCCAGCACTTCATTTCTTTCATTATTTTATAGCCAGTCAGGAAGTGCTTTAAGTTTTTAGGAAGAAATTAGCATAGTATATATTTTTTAATAGGAAGCAAACCAGTAGTGATGATGGAGGCAGAGTGTTTAGCTAGTAGATTTGGTAGTAGAGATGAGGAGGAACTACAGACTGGGAATATAAAGAAGACAGATTTCAGTAGGAAAATTAACAGGAATAAATTTGGTGGTAAAATTAGTTGGTCATAACTTATTCAAAAGGGGAAGGGGAAAAAAAGGGGAAGGGAAAAGAAAGAGAACATAACTAAGTTGCTTAAAAAAAAAAAAAAAAGCAGGCAGCCCGGCCAGTTTGCTCAGTGGTTAGAGTTGGCCTTCAGACGGAAGGGATTCAGGTTCTATTCCAGTCAAGGACATGCATCTTGGTTGCAGGCTTGATCCCTGGCCTGATCATGGTAGGGCTCACGTGGGAAGCAACCAATTGATGCATCTCTTTTGCATCAATGTTTCTGTCTCTCCTCTTCCTTTTTACTATCTTTAAAATCAATGGGAAAAATATCCTTGGTGAGGATTAACATTAACAACATCAAAGTCAACAAACCTAATAGCCCATTTTTCAACGAATAATTTTCTGAGCATACTTTGCATTTTCAGACTAAATATTAGTTTTATTTTTTTTCTACAAATGTATGGCTTTACTTCATTTTAGTAATTATTGTCCCTTAGATAAAAAGTTTTCTTGTTTATAGATATCATAGATACATGGACAAAACCTACTCACCTTTTAGAAAACTGTATAATTACTTTGGGGCATCATCTAACACGTAGGGCACTCAGAATAGGCTTCTGGTTTGAAACGAAAAGCTTTTATGTGTATTTCTGACTTCTAAACTTATTAAGTCTCAATACGTTTATAAAACTCACTTTGTTTAAAAAATATTTTACTGATTTTTTTACAGAGAGGAAGGGAGAGGGAGAGAGAGAGACATCAATCGGCTGCCTCCTGCACATCCACTAGTGGGGATGTGCCCACAACCAAGATACGTGCCCCTGACCAGCATCAAACCTGGGACCCTCGAGTCACTGAGCCAAACCGGCCAGGGCTAATGCTCACTTTTGAGGAAAAAAAAATAAATCTTGGACTACCCTCCAATCCCTCTGTGGCAGGAAATATATGAGTCTATATTGTGCTTTTATATCAGTCTGTCATTTACATTATTCAAATACAAAACTGTGATACATGATTTAGAAATTATATACATACCCAGAAATTATGATATAGTCTCCCGGAGGATATGACTACCCTCTTATGTAAAAAACACCAACAGGAAATATGTTGACTAAAGTAAAATGAGCATTATGGCAAAGGAAACTTTTAAAGGGACCAATATATACACATATCACAACTGTGATCCTTAAAATAATTATATTAAATAAGCAGAAACTATGAAAAACTTGAACTGCATTGCTGAAAATAACAAAACTCATTTGGATGAAAAAGAAAAGACTTTGCTGACTTTGGGTTGTTAGCTTGACAAATTGCAACACATTACCGTGGCTTCCTGCTTCCACTTCTGACATGGTTTCCGGGCTTGTTGGGTCTTTATAAAACAACCGCCTTACAGTTCTGCAGCCTCTTCCATCTTGCCACCGATATCCATCCTCACTTTCTTGAAAGGGCTCTCTTCTCGGCCGGTTCATCACAGGAATTCTAGGTCCTAGTTTGTATTCTCGCCAACTCTCCGAATTACCAGCGAGTTCATCTGACAGCCATCTTTTACTCTGATCTCTGTGGTTGTCGTTTACCCAAAGGGGTGGACTGTAAATCGGGTTTTTAAATGCATAAGGATTGCTGGAAACGGCATACGGTCCTTTTCTAGGAGTGTTCCCATAGTTCCCCGGCGTTATTTTTCTCTTAGGAAGGCCTTTTTCCATTTTATTGCTATGGCCTTTCGCACAATCATCCGTTACTAAATAATCTTGTTGAGGGTGACCCCTTCTGAAATCCTCATCTTCCGCAGCTCCCCGGTCCTTAGCACGCTTCACAAAATAAGGTTTGGCTGCATCTCCCATGGTCATCCACTTCACTTTTCTTACTTTGCACCTGGAAAGAAAGCATTTTTTTGGGGGAAATCAAACTATAATAAGATATCATACCTAGAGTACAAAATACTCCATATATTGCACGGATGCTCAAAAGCCCATAAGAGACCCCCTCCCCACCTAATCTCCACCACATTCCAATAACTAGTGTATTACACTAGAAGTTAGGAGGCTTATCCTAGGATATTCATCATAAAAATTAGTACCTACTAGGTAACGTGAAGATTAAACCTGTGACTAAGGGAAGCTGCCTATATAGTCCTGAGAACTGTGGTATTAAAAAATGTTACTCAGCCGAAACCGGTTTGGCTCAATGGCTAGAGCGACGGCCTGCGGACTGGAAGGTCCCAGGTTCTCGATTCCGGTCAAGGGCATGTACATGGGGATGTGTTTCGGGCATATCCCCGGTGGGGGTGTGTGGAAGAGGCAGCTGATCGATGATTGTCTCTCATCGATGTTTCTAACTCTCTATCCCTCTCTGTAAAAAATAATCAAACTTTACCTATAGGACAAAAGCGCTTCTCTTAAAACAACAAAAACAAAACCCTTTATGCCAAGCCCACACTGTTAGAAAACTCCCGAAACAAGTCTTTAAAACTCCACGTTTCCGTCCCTCCTCCGCGCCCCGGGACCGCGGCTCACCTCCCCGCCCCTCTTTAGAACGATGGCTTCGATCGCTGTGGTGACGGAGGCCCCTCCGAGGCTCCGCTCCAGTCAAAGGGGCTGGGCTTCCAACCAAGACACAACTCCAGCTACTCTTCCCCGACCTGCTTCTCCACCCCAAACAAGTTTGTGTTTTGGTCACAAATTGCAATTTTCCCCTCTACGATCCCCATCTGATCGCTCCCCCCACCCCCAATCTGCCTCAGTTTCCACCCTCTGGGGCCAGAGGCGGAGAAAGGGGAAGCGTCCCCCCACTCCCCCCGGCCGCGAAGCCACCGCGGGTCCCAGGAAGCAGGAAGTGACCTACCTTCCCGATGGGTTCCGAGGTCCCCCAGGTCGGCCAGGGGGCCGAGGCCGAGCGCTTCCACCGAAACCCCTTCTCCTCCTTCGGCCCCCGCTGCAGGGTCTGACAGAAGGCGAAGGCACGGGCTCGAACCTGAGCGCTCAGTCCCCGCTGGCCTGGCAACCGGGACCGAGGCCAGCGGAGGATGAAGCCGCCAACGTAACTCCGGGGCGGAGCCCGCCCTCCAGTCTGGGGGCCGGAGAACCCGGCGGAGGCTCACCACGGAGGCGAGTCCGCGAGGGACGCGAAGAGAAGGCGCTCGGAACACTCAACCACCTCCGCGGCGGCGGCGCTCCTCCGCCTCCTTCGGCCCTGGCTGGGCTCCCTCTCTGTGTTTTCTTTCGGCCCAACTTCCGGCGCTCAGCGCTGGCTCATTGTGCGCGATTGGGAGACGGGGGCCGCCCCCGCCGGAGAGCTCCGCCGCTCACGCCGGAAACGCGCGCCCTTCCGAAGGCCCGCCCGCCTCCTGCCCCGCCTCTCCCGCCTCCGCGGCGCCCCGCCCACTTCCGCCCCGCCGCCGCCGCCGCCGCTGCGGCGCTCAGGCTCTCGGGAGAACGGGCCGCCCTTCCTCGCCCAGGTCTCCTCTCTACCGGGGGAGCTTAGGAAGGAAACTGCTGGTTCTCCCGGGTAGGCTCGGAAGCTCGGCTGGTCCCGGGAGGCTCCAGGCCCCTGGAAGCTCCTGGCTGCTGGGTCTTGATGTTTTCCCGGTCATTCCAAGTGATGTCACGTCCCCGGAGGTCTTAGCTGCCGGCCCTATCGAAATGCCTATCCTGTTTAAGCATCCGCTGTTCACCCAGCTAGCTCTCATTATGGTCGGGAGAAATGCTTTTTTTTCTTAGATTGGGTACGTATTAGTTCTACTTAAAAACAAAACACAACGGTGCTTTTTTTTTTTTTTTTTTTTTTTTTTTTTTTTAAGAATATGTGTAATCCGAAAAGATGCCCCAAGAGATGTACTCAACTTTTTTGAACGGAAATTGCACACCCGGAGCTAGCAAACACCCCCAGAGCGTTGAGAAAAATGTGATAGTTTTGATTGCTCTGCTTTAAAAACATTTAAACTTAAATCCACGAGATCCTGTGAAGCCTTGGTCTTAAAGTGATTATGAACCCATGCGTACTGGCTGCTACCAGGAACTGGTCTGGGAGCTTTAAGTCATTTAATCCATGCCATATCCAAGTGCTTTGGTTCTGAAAAACGCATGGAAATCAAGCCAGTAATCTGTTTGACAGGCAGGCAGTGCCTTTAATATAATCCAAAGAGAGCTTGGTAATACATGACTGCATTTATTAAGGGACAGTAGCGATGCCTCACCCAGTGGAGTAATTCTTGCACACAAGACCTGGTTTAGGAAAAGTTCTAGAGGAGCAATAGAAGATACATCTTTTTAAGGATTTTTAAAATATTTTTTTACTTGCATTTTCTTCAGTGCATCTCCAAAAACCTAACTTTTATTCTAAACTTGCTTTGAAGTTTGTTAAAAAGAAATAGCAGGCCCAAAATGCAGACACTGTGGTAAGCCCCACCAAGGCTTAATACCTAAACTAATTACAGTTTCAGCCTCTTCCAGGAGAGGAATTTTAATTCAATTTGAAGTTTCCTGATCAGCACTAAGGAGGTAATATGCCAAGTAAGACCCCTTCCCTAAGGGAAAATGAGATTGCCTGAAATAATCCACTCTTTTACCTTTCTTGTCCTACCTACTACAACTCCTTGTAGTGCCCTTCTAGTTGCTAGATGGGATGCTGACTGACTCATGAATCAATTAATAAACCAATTAGACCTTCAGATTTATTTAGTTGAATTTTGTTCTTTAATGAGGCTCTCTAAAACAAGATGCAATATTAACCAAAGGTTATTGACAATATACCTCTGTCTATATTATACTGTAATGGCAATTTAAATTGGTTGTGGGGACTCCTATAATTAAGATGAAAAGTTTGGTTAAAGATTTTTTTTTTAATATTACTGGGGGGAATTGAGTTTCTCCGATTTTTTGTATGGTTGAGTCACGGTCTAGACATTTTTCCAACAACTTGGAGCAGAAATTTGGGCCTGTTTGGTTCAGAGCACATTAATATTGCTCCATATGTTATAACGTGTCTTCTTTCTTGAACCAGAAGTTTAACATTGTGGCACCTGTTGACAAGTTAACCTTTAACAAACACTGTGCCAGTGCTGTTTTTCCTGTAGGGCATGGAGTCAGAAGTGCAGAGGTTGTGTTCATAGCTTTGTCAGCCAGTTTTTTTTTCCCTTAGTGCTTTTTATTCACTTTTTAAGTGAATTATATTGGCTCCCCCTTTAACTATGGCCATAGTCCATTGACTCCTCACCACTTCCACTGTTCCCAATCTGATGTTAGTAACCCCCATGGCTCTGATGCATTGTTGCAATCATCAGCTTTCTCCCCTGCCCTCCTCATCTACCCCGTAGCCAGAAAAGTCATGTTCAGATCTGGGCCAGATTACTGTTTCCCACTCAAAATCCCTCAATGGCTCTTCAGTTCTCTGGGAGTAAAAGCCAAAGTCCTTTAAATGGCTTTAAAAAAAGCCCCTCCTTTTATTTCTGATCACACTCTTTATTCCTCTGACTCACCCCACCGAAACTATACTAGCCTTTTTGCACTTCCTTCATCATGCCAGGACTTTGCACTGGCTATTTCCTCTGCCTAGAAAGCTTTCCCTCCCTTTGGTGTCTGTATTGGTCACACCTCCATCTCCTTCAAATCTTTGCTCACATTCTCAATGAGAGCAATTCTTAACACATTTAAGTTGCTTGTCTAGCGCCCTCTTCTCTGCCTTCCCCTCACTTGGTCTGTATTTGCCATAATTATTTGTTTCTCGTCTGTATTACTCCATAAGAAAAGTTCAACAAGGGCAGAGACTTGCCCATTTTATCAGTATATTCTCTAGGACCTAGAACATTACCTGGCTCATGGTAGACTCTCTAAAAATATTTGTGGAGTAAATGAAAGATGCAGGATGTCAATGCAAGAACATCCAAACTTTTGGAGAATTTTTGTAACAGTTTCTTTGAACCAAGCAGAGGACACATCTGGAAGCAAGCTCTTCTCAGAGTGAGAAAAATGCTTCCCAGAATGACAGTTTGCAGTTCCTTTTATACATTTGGAATTAAAGAGGGAGGGTAAAGAAGATTAGTACATGAATGTGGAAGAAAAGTAAGGTATGGAAATCTCTACAATTGGATTACAGGATAGTTAATAAGAATATATTCTCTCTTCAGGGTGGTTATGCTTCACAGGGGTCTAAGAAAGAGGCTTTTCAAGTGTGTTAATCTAGATGCATAAAAACAATGAACAGGGCTTGCTTAAGGCAAAAATAAACCTTTTATGGGCCTGGGATGTGATTAACTACCAGGACCTGCTCAGTTAGGAACTTGTGATCAGATCATCCTGTGAGGTTTCTTTGGTTAGGTTTATTACAGGTTAGATTTTTATCCAGGAGGACAAACTAGGCTCTACAGCAGTAGTTTGTCATTAACATTTGATCCCCCTCTCTTCTTACATTGTATAGTTCTCTGACAGAGGTTTAATTTTATAATAGGACTAGAGGCCCGGTGCACGAATTCATGCAAGAATGAGGTCCAGCCAGCCTGCCCAATGGGGGCTGGCCCGCCCTGATGGGGGCCAATCGGGGGAGGAGCAGAGGGCATTTAGGGGGCCTGATCAGGGCCCCATTGGGACAGTTGGCTGCCGCAGTGCGCATCATAGCGACCGGTCATTCTGGTTCTGTTGTTCAGATCGCTTGGCTTCTATATATATATTTGGCTTCTATATATATTTCATATATATATATATATGAATAATAAACTCAGAAACTTTAAAATGTTCTACCCTTCTTTCCTTTCATATCTGCCTACAGTTTTCAAAATCCTCACAATGGCTTTCTTCTCCCCAGTCTCTCCCCCGACCCCGCCAAATTCACAAATAATTGAGTTAGAATACTTCCT